ACCGATCGATCGGATCTACGTCTCCGTAACCCTTCATCCGCCAACTGCTCGCGGGTAAGAACCGGAAACATTACTCGATACTGTGCGTCAGTTCTCTCGTCGAATTACGTATTTCTCGGTGCAATATTGCGCGTAATTGATATCGCTGCAATCACTGTGATTCCGCTAATAACATTTCTTCTGTTCCGCACGTTTCGCAACGTAGGCGCACCGCGATTGATCTCGCTTTCCGCAAAACTGACACGGCGGAGAGCCGATAAAGTTTCAGAGTGGATTTATTATATAATAAAATTAAAGATGTCGCAGACTGCGCACGTAGAATTTTATTGACAAGTCCGCGCACAGAGAGAGAGAGAGAGAGGGGGCAGAAAGAGAAAGAAAGAGAAGAGCAATAAATCGTTCAGTTTCTCCCTTCGCCGGATAAGCCGCGAGGAAGTCGAGGGTGCGCGTCTAATTCCAAAGCACGTTAGATTCTACGGGCGCGGAGGCGAAAGAGCGCGAGATCGATAAATCGAGAGTCGCTCGAGATGGTAAACAAAAGCTGTGAATAAGAAAGGAGGCCCTCTCGTTGAACCTCATTAAAAAGCGAAATGCTCGTGCTCGTGGCCGCCCCTGAATTAGGACGACGACGACGATGTCAAGGGTGGTGGAGGTAGTGGTGCTCGCGCACGACTGAGGGCGAGAAACGGAAGCTCGAAAATACGCTTTTCCGATGTACAATGCGCGATATAAGATGCGGAGCAACGCGTGAAACGTGTGGACACGATCGTGCTATCGTAACTATCCATCTGAGAAAAACTGCAAAGACAGAATCTGTGCGAGACAATGCACGTGCGCGTGACAATGAAGAATAAACTCCGCGATATCCGCGATATCAATCCCACTTTGAACGACAGGATTCTATCTGCAATTTTATGCACCGTGTAATACAAAAAAGAACGCTCGAAGATTTATATAAGATGGCATCCGGGGAAGCTTCCCATCCCATTTATTTTTCTCATTTACTTGTATAAATAATAATAATAATAATTATTATTTTTTTTTAATTATTTCGCAACCGTTTGATTCGCGCGAGAAATGCCAAAAGGAGTCAATTTTGTTCTCGAGGGGGACACTGTGATGAATTCAGTCGTGCTGTTGTTCAACCGTTTCGTCATTTTTCGCGTGAATCAGTCGATCGCAGAATACAATCGAGTTCGAAAGTGTTTCTTCATTCATCCTATATATGTATACGTGCACGAATGCATTAGTAAACGCAATTCGCAGATTCTCGAGATTTTTTTTTCACAAATAGAATTCCATTCTGAATTCTGTTGCGAGTTTATAGCTCATTTTATAAGGCGGACTTTGTACAAGGGAAATCGTGCGATTCACTCTCGGACGTATCTCGCGATTGCGGTGGGCAGATGATAGCACCGTAATTACGACATCTTAAGAACCAGCAGATGATGATAATTTCGCCGATTGATATCGTCGGCGCGCATCGCAGGTTCGCGCGCGCGTCGTTAGCTCTCACGATCGGATAAGGGTTAACCGGCTCTCCGGGGGGATATTCCTCAATTTAGTCGATAGGCTACTCTTTAATGATAGCCGATAGCCAAGACGTTATCGGCATTCCCCCGCTGGATAAAAATGATCAGCACGACGCGCTCGTCGATAGCTAAATAATCGGGCGATCACGCCGAGTAGCGTATTTCTTATTTAAAAGGAGCAATGGCCCGGATGTGGGGAAGATACGAAAGTAAAACGAAATGTAAAATATAATATATAGAACGAGAGACACATATGATATAAAATCAATGATTATAATGTCAAAGCGAGACGCAGGGGACAATCGGCCCCGTCTTATAAGTTGGCGGAACAAAATAAGCAGAATCAATTTCAACAAATATTTTTAGTTGTTGCTGATTTATTGCTAAAATATTACCAAAGGAAAAAAATTCGTTGCTCATGGTTGCTCGAAAACTTATCAGCGACAAATGAGCAACGGATAAAAATATTAGTTGAAATTAGTTCTACTTATTCTGTCCTGCTAATTTATAAGACATATGGCTCGATTTCTAATCTCTTCGAAGTAACTCAATATTTCTCTCATTCGTTTCTCCATCCTCGTGCTGTTAAAAAGATATCGGTAGATGTTGCACATGACACTAAATTAATTGGAAATACTAAAATTAGATAGATACCTAAGATATATTCAATAATTCCGAGAGACGGACTCGAACCTCGTCCATAAATCGCACTTAGGACACAAAGAACGTTTCTGCGTATGCGAAGTATCCGTCACCGCGCGTTACACGAAGCGTCTCCTTTATCCAACAGTAAACCGATATCGATGTTGAAGAAGGAAGAAAAACGGACGATACTCGACGGTGTGTCGGGGTATTGGTGACCCTAATCGAAGGATTCGCCACGCGTGCGTATAACGGGCGATTAATCACCGTGGCGGCAACTAGTTCGCCGCCGACGAACCGTCGTCTAAGATAGAAAATCATATCCGGGGATCGTGTGAGGTCGGGAAGCGATCGTAGTTCATTTAGAAATCGCAAGGACACATTGTCACGTTGCTTATATATATACAAGTGTACCGCCTCCACCGTGCGCTCACGTAATAACTATTACCCCGTCGGGGCTTCTCTCCGATCTCGCTCGCGGCCCCCGCCTGATCGAAGGGGATTGTTTCGCCCATTATGCACGGAAAAATAATCGCAATTCGTGCAACAGAATGCGGACCAAACGATAACTCGGTGACGAGAAACGATAACTCTGTCGTCGCGACCGAAAACACTCGTCTGCGTTAAAACTAGGTTGAGATTGTGCTGAGAAAAAAATACGTAACAATTTATTTGTGGGATATAAGGCTTATGGAATCATTTGTGCACAGAAATAAGATTTAAATCTGTGAAATAAATTTTTAAATATAGGAGAAGGTATTATGACCCCCTATTTATATTTTGTACAATAACTTTGTTGATAATCAATATTTTAAATTGAAAACTTGACGATTACATTCGTCAAAGTGTCGCCCAATTCGATTCTACACTCAAAATTGAATATCGAAATTGAAATTGAAATGAAATATTTATTACTTGGTGCGTTATTTATGAAAATGTGGCGACACTGCATAATGAGTGGAACAATTCGAGAACAATTGACTGAGTAGTCGCTCAAGACGAAGGAACGTCAAATCGAGGTGAAAAAAATATCCCGCGACTACAGGATCGCCTGCAATAGCCGGAAAAATTTCTCACACGCGAACTGAACCCTTGAACCGCTGAAACTTGAACCTTGAACTTTGAACCTCGGTCGAGTGGCGCGTTTAACGTAATATAGCATAATAACTCGTTGATTGTATACTTTGAATTCGCACGCACGTTGTTATCTCAAAGAATGCTTTCGGGACGCTCAGATAATCAGGAAGAAAGCCGGCGATTCAACAACGATGACGACGAAGACGACGTATTCCCCGCGGGCGGTCCGCTCGTTGTGCGATGTATCTGCGGCGCGTTGCACACGGCCGACGCGGAAAACGCCGGTGTATGTGTGTGTCAATAAAAATAATCGACTGTCCGAAACTCGCCTATATTGGATATTGCGGAGAGCGCATTTGTTTAGCCGGTCCGCCGGTCGCAAACGACCAAGTTCTCGGATAAAGAGAGAAACCGGGCCGAGTTTGCTCTGACTCCCGGAGGAAATTACCGCAGATAGAGACGACGACGACGCTTTCAGGAGCTTCCGCGCGTTTCCCGATCGGAGCGGTTAACAATATCGTAAATCTATGAATTCGTCGAGCAAACTTGCCCTCGCGATCTCGAAGAGGAAAACGATATCATTCGGTACATTATTCATTTTTTTCGAATTTTTGAGAACTTTAGAATTTCCAAGGGAGAACGGGGAGCTTACTACCCCCTCCCCAAATTTTGAGCAAAGGAAACAATTAAATTGTGAAAGTCATAAAAGTAAAAAAAAATGTGACTTATATATCTGATAATCTACGTTCTACCAAAAGCTACAGTACATGTTCTGTAATTAAAAATTAATAACAAAATATTAGTAATATTTTATGAAAATGAATGTAATGAAAATTTCACCAGCAACGTTTCTCAACTCAACTAAACATAACGAGCATCGTTGAAAGGTCTTTCAGTATATTGGGAAAGGAGTAAACCTGGTTGCGGTGAACAATGTCAGAAAATCGCTTCAGTGTACTAAGTATGCTAAGTATGTTAATACACAGAAAAATGGTGCTCGCGAAAAGAAAGAAGCTGGAAGAAGAAATATCAAAACAGTTCACTGAAGATCCACGAAGACTGGCTTTGACATAAACACATTAATAAATTTCGTATAAAAATAAGTTCCCCCTCTCCCTGACTGAAATCCTAGGTAGGAATCCTATACTCATCATTATTAATAATGACTCATGTTCTTAATCGGCTATCCGCGGGCGAATCTCCGCGAGTGTGAAGAGAAAAACAAATACTCGCAATCTCCCCCCAAAGTTCGTCATTTACAAGCGGAACCGAGATGCGTAGGACACGTGATTAGCGAATCTTGTCGTACTCGAATGCAATTACACTCATCCCTGCGTCCCTACATCCTGAAACATATATCGTCCTTCCAAATACATGCGTACAACGGGGAATCCAAGAAACCGTACAAAACAAGCGGCGCCCAGAAGAGAAACCAGGCCGGCTTTTTGACGTATCTCCGCGTCTATTGACCTCGTGTCATAGCATAACAAAAGTGAAGTAGTCGCTCAGCCGATGTGCTCGCCGGCGAGGATAAAACCGCGCACACCCGCGCGGCCGATCGACGCGCGCGTTCTCTCGCACGAGAGAGAAAGAGAGAGAGAATGACACCGATCGTGCTCGCTCGGGTGGCCATATTTGGCGCTAAATGACGGCGTTTAAACAAAAAGTCCCGCTCCTCGATTCCGCTCGGTGAAAATGACACTGACAACGAACGACAACAAACCCGGGCCATTCACCCGGGGGACTCACCACCAGTTGGCTTGCGCGCCGCTTTGCCACACGACGATCAGCAGGAGCAGGTAGCCCGTCGACATGACGTGAGAGCGTGCGTGCGTTCCCGGCGTGCGGAGTCCTCTTCTTCGGCCGAGAGAGCCGCCGAATCTCCCCAGTCGAATCCCCCTCGTGGAAGCGCGACGGACGGACGGAGAGCAGGTTACGCGGCGCGTACACGCTCCCTTCTCCCCCTCAGCCACGCATTCTTACATGCGCCGACGATCGGCTCGCACGACGACGACGATTCGCATCGCACGTTTCCCCGGGATAGAGAAAATATCGTCGACGAGCGCGCGGCGAACGGCCGGGAGTACGATAGATCGAACGATCTCTCGCGATCGCGGACCGCCGATACCGCGGCAACGTCGCGGTGCGCTACCTGGCGTTCTCGCCCTGACGCCGCGAAAGTTCCTTCCCCGCGTCTGCTATTCGCTCTCTCTCTCTCTCCGCTGTCGCGTTTTTACATGTTTCCGGCGACGCCGAAAGACGCGTGTCGGGAGGGCCGCCGAATCTCGCGCGGATCTGATCGATCTCTCGAGGACGAAAGAGCGAGGGGAAGATTAACGGACGTCGCGTCGGCGATTCGAACGGCTGCTGGCGTTCGCGCGAAGAGAGTGTCGCGGCGGGTCAGCGGTGGCGAGGCGACGTGAGGACGCGCGCGCGTCTCGACGCGTACACGAAATGACGCTCCGTGAACGCTCGCGTACGAACTGTGGCCGGTAGTCACGCGGAAAGGGCAACGGGGCTCTCACGATGGGCGGAGACATCGTGCGCTCGCGGCCGCGCCGATTGGTCGCGTCGCCGAAGAGCCTCCGAAGGCCCCCACTCGCGCTAATTAAGCATTTCGGCGCACCGTCCCATCGCCGGTGCGAGCGGCGTACGCTCGCTCCGCCACGATTCGTCCTCTCGGCCGGGCTCTCGGCTCCTCGTCTCTCCGCGTTGTAGCACGAGATGAGGCGGCGGACGATCGCGCGGCTCCTCTCCTCCGTCGGCCGCTCGTCGATGAGCCGCTCCCGATGATCCCGACACGATGACGGCGGCCTGAAAGAGAACAGGGGTGTCTTTACGCTCGTTTCCGAGAACAATCGCGTATCGACGTGTTAACTCTTCAATGGCAAGGTGGATTTTCAATAATAACATGGAGTCTCATTCCTCTGTTTATTTATAGGTGAACAAAAGTTTAATAAATAATAATTTTATTAATTGACTTGAAATAATTCCAGCGAAGCACGTGGAAAAACGCCTTGACATGCCGGGGGTCGATTATGTATTCCAAAACGAAGTGAAAATTACAAGGGTAGGCGAATTTACTAGAATATTTGTAATTTCATCGGTCGACATCTAGTGAATTTACTTTTGTAATTCTCGCTTCGTTTTGAGACACACGGTCGACTCCCAGAACGCCGAGACGTTTTTCAGAGCGTTTTACTGTCAATTATTTTAATTGAGTTAGTAAACTTTGTTGCATTTCTTTCATCTATAAGTAAATAGAAGAAGAAGTTTATTATTTACTTCTTTTGGCCATTTTGCATATTAATTAAATGAAAAATTAAAACAGGTATCGGATCCGATTCTAAATCTTCTCATTAGACAGTTAAGGGTCATCTACAATAGTCGTAAAGTATGCAATAAGACGTAAGCAATAAGGCTAGTGGTACATAGAAAAACGTAAGCAGCAAGCAAATTGACCAATAACAATCGACTATTCTTCTTACGGTATTAAGAATAGTCAACTGTATTGGTTAATTTCCTTACTGTTTAAGTTTTTTCTATACGCTCCCGGCCTTGGCTAATTGATCAATTGGATTCTTGCTGTCCAGGATTAATCCGCGACTGTAGTTGGTCAATTACCTTACTGTTCATGTCTTTCTGCATACTTTACGGCTATTGTAACAGTCCTTTAACGGATCGCTCGAGCTCCGCGATTTTCGTCGGATTTTAACGACGTAATAATCCCGGGTGATTGATTTTTCCTCCGATAAGAGAAAGAGAGAGAGATTTTTCCGGAAATTCTCGTCGTCGCCAATGTTACTCGTGACGTTGAAAATGTGAAAGCAATATTAAACATATCGCTGGCGATATTGTAAATGTACATTTTGTTTAAACATTATCCGAGAAATGCGCCATACATACGTACACAGATAGAAAACATTGTAAACATTCCTTAAATGATTCGTCGTTACAATGATAGAGATAGGAGATTCCCGTTTTCCCTCAGATCGATTTGTTGCGCCGGTCACGAACAGGATTGTTTAATCAATAATGATACACCATAGTATCCGTAGTACAAAGCTAATTTATGTCAACGGTATTTGGCTTTCTTTATATAGGCGTAGTGTCTCCCCCTCCCCCACTCTCTCACTCTTTCCATCTCTCATGTCTTTCTACAATTCAACGAATTAACGATACGTCAATATTCATAATAGAACAATTGAAACAATTGATTGTGAGGGAAATTTGGCAAGGTTTCGAGGCAAGGTTTCCACGCGTGTCAAGCGAACGTAAACTCGTCGCGCGTACTGATCATAAAAACACCGCAAAGACAAGACCGTAGTAGCGGACAAGTTGAATTTTTCACAGTGCCATTGAAATGAATATCACAAGACGAACGTTGTATTTTGGTCGACGATAATACGAATAAACGAAGATCATTTCCGCGCGATCGAATTCATTCGATATCTCAATTCGCCAGAATTATCCTGCTTTTCCCGGTCTCGTTACGATAATATAAATTGTTACAAAATTCGTTAACGCGTATACGTGTCAAATTGCCGAGAAAGTCGCGATAATAGCCAGTAAAACGTAGAATTGATATTCACTGTAATATTTATTTTCCTGGAAACGAGATGATATTCACATTTTCCAAAACAGTCGTATTTCGCAGTCCATTCCAAACACAATACGGAAAGTAATTGAAAACGTGTTTAAAGTTTCCTGTAGCGATTACGCGATAATGATTAATCAAATAATAGAATGTTCTTTCAAACAATAGCCGGCTATTTCGTAGCACAGACCGAAACGTTCATTGTTCGTCACTCTACCGCAAAGATGAGTACTTTCAAATTGCAAAAATAAAATATAAACAGACGCATATTTCGAGTCGCGAAATATCGCGGAGAAGTCGTTTCGGTCAGTTGAATAACTAATAAATTATTTCACGTTTTACATCTCTCTCTCTCACAATACGCGACAATTTCTACGATATCGATGGATATGCAAAATGTAAAAACACCATATAAAACATTACACAATAATAAATACGATGATCGCGCGTCCATCTCGCGTCAATCGTACAACACCGTAATACCTTCTCGCATATTTCACCGGCAAAATATAAATCGCGTAATATCTCAATGATAACAATTAATCCTGCGATTTTACGATAGAATTTAAATGTTCCGATAAGTCGGCTGTTTGAAATTTACGTCGATATATCCGTCCATGAAATTTACACTTGTATGCATTACGAACTAAACAACAGTGCCATCTACTGGCTCGACGCGAGAATTAATGTGCAACGGTTGGTAAAGCTCCGAAAGCACACGATATATTGGGTGTCCGAAATTTGTTGGCCAATCATTCGATAAAGATAGAGCATATTAAACTGAGCAGAAAAGTCCTGTATCATTTTGCAAATAGCAAGCAAAATTTCGAGTTATTAATTATTGAAAATGGCCACGTAGAGAAGCTTCTTTAATTAATAACTCAAAAATTTACGTGTTATTTTTTGTTTACATTGGCTTAAATTGCAAATATGTGACGGATGGTCCTGACGCATTGCGTTGAACACTTTATATATATATATATCTGTATATACAACCCTTCTCTCTCTCTCTCTCTCTCTCCCTCCTTCCCTCCCTCTCTTTCTCTCTTTTCTTCACAAAGCTACTAATCAACATATAGAACATAGCTACAACATAGCTACTAATCGACACTCGAAATACATAGAAAATCACGGATACAAAAAGCGGCATAACTCACCGAAGCACGAAAGACCTGGATGTGCGAGCCCGATCGAGGAACCGCGAACACGTTCGTTCCTGTTTCTGTCCGTTTTTGCGTAACGACCGCCATGTTTTCGTTGCAAAGTCGGCCACCGGTTGTCGAGTACAAATATCGCGTTCAATCGTATCCGTTCGAGCCGATTTTCACGCTGAAACAATAACCCGTCGCCGGATTCGAAACTTCGATCACTCGTCGGCACTCGAAACGCGCTGTCGACGTGCAAAAAAACGCGACAAACACGGAGCGATCGGAAGCCGCGTTCGAAATAGATCACGGAACGACACGAACTACCGCTAAGTTGCGCGCTTGTGTGACGTCACGTTCAAACGGTTTGAACGTAGCGATATTTAGTAACGGTTGGTAATATTCAGTTTACGTGACGAATCGCAACACGGCGGTTTGGGTTCGTCGAATCCTCTCGTATTTCTCGCGATCTCGGCGGGCCCAGGATTAATTTCAGGATCGAATTGTTATCGAGAGTGCCGGAATAAAGTGTCGCTCATGATGGTGAAATATCGAGGGATCAACATCGGGGTGAGTATCTCGCGAAATGACCCGTTGGAGGTGGCGGACAAAGTATCGCGCGACCGTCACATTATGGCGATTCGATGTTCGTAGATGCTCGTCATCGAGAATGCTAGGACAAAGTGTCATTTGTTTGTAGCGATAAAATATCGTTGAATCAGCGATAGGGATCGTCCTAAAGATCCACTGAAGCAAGAAACGTCCTAGAGACGTCCGGAAGACGTCTTACATCGTAAGGACGTTCTTAGGGCGTTCCTTGGATAAAGTATGCTGTAGGAATATGGAAAATATAGGTTAAAAAGTACACAAGTATAATGTTAAATTAATATATTTATTATTAATATATTATATATATATTTATTTTGTCAACATTAGGTTCGATTATTTTACAAGTTATTTTATAAATAGTTGATAAGATGAATGTATTAATTTAACGTTATATTTCCTAAATTTTCCAGTCTTTCAGACGTCTTTTGTCACGATTTTAGGCGTTATATAGGCGTTGAGGATCGCGCGACCGTTATATTATGACCATTCGATGCTCAATGTGTGATTTATTACAGAAAGTACCGAGATAAGTGTCACGTCATCGAATCATGGGATCATCGCAGCATCAGAAAGTCGCATCATCGTGTCCTGGCAATTTGGAGGAGTTCGAACCTTTTCTGCTTTCAACTCGCCGAAGAAAGGTAAACGACGTTTGCACATTTATCGACGGAGCAGGGCAGTGATGAACGTCTCGTGCTTGACATCTCTCACAAGATGTCGGGTTATGTATTTTATCCGCGAATTTCGATCAAGCATAGCGATCGATTTGTGCAGTACGCAGAGATAAGAAAAACATGTCTGAGAATAAGGGTTAAACAATAAAAACGATAAAATAACACTGAAACATTACAGTTACAACAAATTTTTTCGTAATTTTTATTCGAAAAAAATCGAAAAAATCTGCGGAAAATGGAAAAATCGAATTTTTCTGAATTTTTAAAACTATAGGAAATATGCAAAATGTGGCAAGCATTGTTGCGACCTGTAGATTTGAAAAATACATCAAAATTGCCTTTACCTGCGATATGTCGATATAATTTGCATTCATTACTTTTAACAAAAGCTCGGTTTTCTCCAAATGAAGCACTTTCAGAATATAGACGTTAAAAATCAACGATTTTACGAAAAAAATGGTGAGTCGGTGATTTCTAATCATTTTCCCAATTTCCACCCAATTTTCATTGTCCGTGCTAAATATAGAAGAATGCATCTCTGCTTTGCAAAATATCAATATATCTGCGTCGTGTATGCAAAACATTTCCACCACCTCGGATTATACTCGTGAAAGACGCAATCAACGCAGCGATTTAATCTAAACTGAGAGTTTCGGGGAATAACTCGTACATCACTCTCTCTCTCTCTCTCTCTCTCTCAATTATCGCGACAAAAGATTTATTTCCACCGGTAGAAACGGTTAAATTACCTCGTGGTATACACTCGGCAGAGCGGAAAGTTGTCACCGATAATAGCGCTGTTTTGGTAATTTCGGCCGCAATAACGTATCATGTATGCATCGATCGGTAAAATTAACAGGTGCCAATTGGAGCCTGAACGTCCGCACGGTCGTTCGATTAACACCTGTACGTGTGCTATATGTGCACGTGTGTGTGTGTGTGTATGCGCGAGCACGCTATTAGTCCACTATTTTTCCATGCACTATTTTTCCATCAGCTAATTTTAGATATCAACAATATCGCGCGGAGCGTACACGCGGTTCAAGGAAGCCTTACCATCGATTCGACATCTAAGAGTACGCCTCCATTCACGTCGAAGGCACGATTCCTCACGATTTGCTGAGCCGACCTGGTACGGCGAAGTAGCGGTAGTCTTCGATCTGTTTTCCGTTCCCGAAGTAGGTTGTACTTTTTGCCACGTGCATAACTTAGTGTCGAAGGGAAGAGGAACTCGGCTCCAGTGCAGCTCCGGTTCAGGAACAGAAGACAGACCACGAATCGTGCTACCCACTGTATGCAACTGCATCTGTCTCTCTCGGAGATAAGTCTTAAGCACCGGCCGACCGGACGGGTCGTGGAGAGACGACGAGAAGGGCACTCGCGACCGCCGTTCGACAAAGTAAGCCATGCGGTCATACGGCCTCGAATTCTGCTTGGCGCTGCGAAGGGTTGTGATACAAGCCTGCCATCGCCTCCTGCAGCGCTCGCAGACACGCGACATGCGCCTTGAATCCACCAGCTCTCTCGGGTAGAGACTCGTTGCGAATGTTGGAGACGTAACCGCGAGACTGCAGCTCCCGCCAGCCGGGCGGCAAGGGGCCCTCGATCTGTTGCCGGATCGGCGTGTACAAGTAAAGAGGGCCTTCCTCTATCTTCGGCACCGACATGTAGTTCTGACTGGCCTGATTGCCGAACTTGATGCCTGTGCTGAACTGGGTGGCCCGCACAGTCGAGCTGGACTTATTGGCCTCCTTCTTCGACTGTATCGCGCTCGCGAACGACTTGACGATGCTCTTCGCGTTGCCCTCGGAGAACATCAGCTCGTCTATCAGAGCCTCCTTCTCGCGTATCTTTCTCTTCTTCATCTCGGCCTCCTCCCGAGCGAGCTCGATCCTCTTCTCTTCCTCCTTCTGCTTCTCCAGCTCCAGCATCTCCTCCAGCTCGTATTCGCTCCGGCCGAGCTTCGACTTGCTCTTCATTATCTGCTCCTTGTTGTCCTTCTTGTACTGCTCTATCCTCTTGTTCATCTCGACCACGTCAATGTTGTTCGCTAAGTTGTAGATTATAGTCTCGATCTCCTCCAGGTAGTCGTTGTACTCGTTCAACGTGGCGAAGTCCTCCTCCCTCTTGTTGTAGTCCCGCAGGATGCGCTTCCTTATGTTCACTTCTTTCTCCACCATAGGGTCCTCGAACATCTGGACCCGGAAGTTCGTTCTTCTCAGAGGAATCTTGCATTCTGGACAGGATCCGGAACCTGAAAGATTCGATTGTGCAGTGTTACTGAAATACTATTGCTTGCACTCCTTGATGGAAGTATTTTGCTGAAAGTACTATGAAATCGATCTATGAAAAATGTAGTAAAAATTATTGAGAAGGTACTAAATATGTACAAAATTAATCATTTTCCTAATGAAATTTAAAATGCGATGTAATACTGTGAAATATAAGGAAAGTTACCGTGGAAAAGTAATAAAAAAATTTTGAAATATTAGTTAAACATAACACTGAAAACTGTGAGATTTTTTAAAGAAAAACTCCTGATGAAATATCGATTAAGAGAATCTTCTCCTAAAATACTGATGAAAAGATAATGAAATGAGGTTAATTAAGAGAAGTTTTCAAATATATTTTCACGTTCAGTAAAATATTTCCATCAGGGTTGCATTAAAAGTAACAAAGTGAACGTTAGAATCAGGCCGGACCTTTGAGGAACAGTAGATCCACACAGCTCTCACACAATGCATGGCCACAGACATTGACCATCATCTTCAGCGATGGATTCCGGTATTTGGTGGTCTTGCATCGTGGACACGCTTGGTCGTCCATCCTGAGGATATGAGACAAATAATTTTGGAAAAGTATCTCTCGATTTTCTAGCTTGATCGACATCATCACGGATATGACAATTCGGTTAGACTCAATTTACATTAAACAAACTACAAAACGAGGTACATAACCTAAGAAAGAATGATGAGATCAATAAGATCCGATTGCCGTTATTAGTGCGAACGTTTAAGCGAATATTTGAGAATAAGATGATACTTTTAAATGTTCATTGCATATTATACGCGTATTTCTTCAAGCAAATATATTTTATTCAAGCTCTTATCGGCCTTATTTCTCCTCGTGCAATCGGCATTATCGAGGAGTCCGATATTTCTCACGTGCACACACAAATCGATGTGATCAGTCGGCAAAATTACTTACTTGTATAATCACTTGACAATTACTTGCTGAAACGTTAAGCTACAAAAGCTACCTGACGATACGTTTCAACATTATATTTAAACAACGCTAAATCACGGTACAGTTCTAGGGAACATAACCTAACACGGCTTTCTCTCTTCCTCTCCCAAAAAGTTCCAGATGACTAACCTAACGTGGCGAGAGCTACTTGTTGACGCGTTCTCACGCGGGACACTTGAGAGATCGATCGATGTCGAGAGTTCCTATCGAACTGTGTTCCGTCGATAGCCCTCATTTTATATCGATATTCGTGCATGAACAACGTGGCTGGATTTGAACGAGTGGACCACGACTTTTTTTTTCTATTCACTTGTCACGTATTTTTTTCCACGCTCGTTGCTGTCTCCTTGCTCCGTGATATTTACCTCGCAGGTTAGAGTCAAACGTTGTCGGTGAAAAAATGCAAACTGCGAATTTAACAGAGAGAGAGAGAAAGAGAATTATTTGACGATGAATTGTGACCGTATGCGAAACGCTCGGTCGTTTCCGATTGCACCGGTGGTGATTGAAAAGTTCACACGAGGAAGGAGGAAAATTCGATACTCCATCAGCTCACTTGTCCCTTTATTACCTTATTCCTGCGAGTTAATTAAGCCTTATCTCTCATTTATTGCTGGTCGTTGCACACTATTTCGATGGTGCGGTTCACCATTAATCGACTCGATAAAATTAATTAGGTTCGTGATTAGCAAGTGAAATTACATTGCATACACATACAGGTAGACACGCATCGAGAATATACAAAATTGCTATTAACAATCCTCTCCTATTTCATAACATCTGATCTCGAAATATATCTTCGCGCGAGATCCTTGACGTAATCTAACCGGAAAATTATACCTACGTGCATATTAAAATACTGAAATATGTAACGCTTAATTAGAGCTGTTTCTAAATTCATAGGTTTCATCCGTGATTACGTGGGATGCATACACACACACACACACATACACACATACACATATGCGCGCGCGCCAACAGCGGTGTCGACCATCGGTGAGCGAAAGAGAAAAATTAAAAAAGCACGCGCACTCCCACGTGAGTTCCGCCGCGCGTCTCGCGTGTCTAATCTACGAGCCTGAATGCACGTGTCTATTTTTAAAACCGGGGGTCGCACCGCGCCCAGTGAACTCGAACAAAATCCCGCATTTTTCACGTTAATAACTCAACTGTTACCAGTGGCAATAAATAAAATAATAGCCTCCGATCTCTCCCGGGCTCTCCGTCGTGTATGTTTGTTTGTTGCCGTGTAAAAACGTCTTTCGTGTCTATCAGTAGCGCTAAAAAACTTTAATAACACGTCGATACGGAAAAACGAGCGAGTATGAATGAGAGATGAGAATGAATATGAAAATGAACCAAAATAACTAAAATAATATCCGATAGTTATTTTTTCTTAGTTATTACTTTCCCAGCTAACGATGGGACCAATTGAATAACGTACTCATTAATATCGATATGTATTAATTCCCGAGCATCGTGTTATGTTATCAAATTGATATCGAAATGAATCTGATGTTGGTATTAGTAAGATAAATTTGTTGACATTTCATGTAATATCGATTCAATACAATTACTAAATAATCATAGAGACTGCAATAAGACAGTCTACTGTTATATTGTTTTACGGTACGGTTTCGATGTCAATCGTATGCTGATCTCTTGAAAATATTATAATACAAAAATTAATGTAAAAATGCCGAAAAGATCGTCGGTCTATTAATAATAAATACGATTTCATCCTTATTAAACGTTTTTCATTGTTTGTCATTACGTTATTAACCGTACTATTATTTAACTTTGCATAATTCGAAAAGAATCGAATGAAGTGTTAAATAACGAACAAAACACTTAAATATACAGCATGTTGCATCAACATACAGCTCGTTACGACGGGTTACCTGCTCAGAGGCGCACATGAAAGAGTGAGAGAGCACACACGACCGATCATTGCACCGACGCGTACCCTGTCGTAATAAATTCTATGTTGAACCCTGTACATATATTCGTGTAATAATACATTCAAGTTTAAGAAGAATGAGGAAATATATGTAATTAAATGCTGAAATATACCTTGAAAACATTTTGAAGTATTCAAGAGTAAAAATATCATATAATAAAAACCAGCTATTGCGTATTAGTATATTAGTGTCACTATAACAGCTAACTAAACAAATGATTCTCTACGTAATCATTACATTGAAAGAAAGAAATTGCTACATTCAAGTAAATATTTGCTAAGGAGTACCAGACTAGTTTATTTTATTTGGATTGAGTAAATATTACTTCAATATAGCATACTGAAAGGAAAAGAAAATAACATATTTAAGTAATATTTTCTCAGTCCAGATAAAATAAACTAGTCTAGTACTCCTTAGAAAATATTTACTTGAACGTAACAATTTTGTCTTCAGTGTAGTAATTCGTCATCAAATAGCGGAGATATTAAGGAAAATCATAATATTACCTTTCCCTCTAATAAAATTTCTGTATTAATTATATTTCTGATAATGTGAATCTGATAAATTATGAATTATAATTAAACAGTCATTAAACTTAATACATAATTGATATGTATTGTTACGACAGTCACATATTTTAATGCATCTCAAATTGTGTTCATGAATATATTTTGGAGCGAATTGGCGTAAAAGTATCAATATTGGGCATAAATATATCGACATTGTCAAATTATGTTTCAATGCCATCACTAATGCCAGCTTTACATTAACCGTTGTAATCACGCGGAAGAGGTGTCTCGCGAAACGGGACCGCCATTCACGCGTTAATAGACCCGCGGGAATTGAAGCGAAATTTTTGCGCGCGGTCGGAAGAAACGCGAAGCGCGCGAACATCGCCGCCGCGCGCGATGGAAATGGGTGGCGATCCCGGATTAAAGCAAAAGTTGCGGAGGGTGCGGCTAATCTGGGTTCCCCGCACCTCTCCCCTCCATCACCCCATTTTCGCCGCTCTTCTTTTTCTGGTTCTCCGCTGTTTTGCCGTGGAACGTTGCTGCGTGCATTCCGCGGCAATCTCTGCAACGGCCGCGAGGTGCAATGCACGCACGTGACTTCACCTCGAAGCGCAGCTCGCTGCTTGGGATCCGCCGCAAATAAACTGCATAATATAGACTGTACAACGGGCCTGTGGTTATTGAGAAGCAATTAATGAACGTACATATGCGCTCGCTCGCTCGCTTCGCGTTTCAGTTTTTTCGCAACATTTCGCTAACCGTTCTACTTGAACGAGTAAGAGAAGAGAGAGAGAGAGAGAGAAAGAGGAGAGAGAAGCGACTCGCTGCAACGGTTTTTCATGTTTCCCTTTTTTCAATTTTTTTTTTAATTCCTGAAGCACACGAAACATTTGTGAAATGAATGCCGCGAGGCGCGCAATATTTTGCCATCAATTCGCGAACGATTCCGTTCCATTTCGAACTCTCAGCGTAAAACAGTAACTCGCACCCCGGAAAATATCGTCGAATTCCATAACCGGCAAATTGTCATTCGAAGCAATTATGACTCGACAACGAGTCGGCAATGGCAACAACAGCGGCAGCGGCAACAGTAACAACGGTGTCGCAACGACGACAACAACGCGGATCCCCCGTACGTGGAATTTATTTATCGCTGCGACGATGGGATTTTTATCGCGATCCCACGATAATAGAACGGAATAACGAGAATCGAAAAACGAGAAGGTAAACGCGCGCACCCCTCCCCCCCGGTAAGCCGATTACCGTTTCGCCGCCCGAGCGAAACATTACCGCGACGTTGTGATCGGCGGAAGAGTCCCAGGCGCTTTTGCGACATTTACAGCGAAAAAGGCGTGTGTTCCGGCAAACTCACAGCGCGAGGAGGAAGCGCGAATAAAACGGAACGCGGTCAAATGGGTAAGCCAGACGGCCGAACGCGACGTATTCGTTCGATGCCGCGCGAAGCGCTTTCGAACCATCCTTTGATCCTGACCGTTCCCGACCGTGCCTAGCCGGTAGTTCCGCGGCGGCTCGCAAGAAACCGAACGATATTGAGTGTCCTGTTTTTATAACCCGACCTGGCCGACGTTGCAGGTCGTGGTAATAAAAATAATAACAATAAATCGCCACCTTCCCGCGGATCTCGTCGATAGCTCGCCGATAGCTCGCCGATAATTTTTCTTGTTTTGCTTTTTCGCCAGCCTCAAATCGGATTCTTCCAGGGTGTTCTTTCCCGCGGCTTCGGCGGTAACGTCCCGGTTAACCGAAGCACGGCTCGTACGAATTTTATCCGATCCGATCGGAAAATCCCCGTCGACGTGCTCTCTCGTCGATTCGCGTCTTATTTAAATATAAAAAGCAAACTTCGCACATATACACACACACACACACACACTCTCTCCCTCTCTCTCTCTGTCTCTCGATAAACGTAGATAAGCGAAGAATTCAGTGGAGGGGTAGATTAAGGTAGCGAGGAATTTCGTGGCCGCGCGATATTTAAATCGCCTCGCATTTCCGCGCGAGGAACTCCGCACCCGAGACGCCGCATCTCGCCGATTCAGAGCCGTTCCGCAGGCGAGAGATATAATTCCGAGGACAAACAATGCGCCGGAGACGCGCACAAATATAATCCTCCGCGCGTTCCAACGAGAGCTATTCTGCCGGCCGACCTGTCCGAATGAAAGAAAGAGAGAGAGAGAGAGAGAGAGAGTCGAGGCGAATCTTCCGAAAGTCGGCAAGAACTGCCGGCGGGCGCGTGAGTGGATGGAAAAAAAGCGAGATGAATCCCATAGAATCCACTGCCAAGTTTAATCGGCGCCGTGGTATCTCAGGGCGGTATTCGATTCCCGGATTCCCGGCTGGGGATGCTGTGTACGGATCGAGGAAGAGGGCGAAGCGAGCGAGCGAGCGAGAAAGCGCACGAGAGACAGATTTACTTAAGGAGCAAGAAAGAGAGAGAGGGAGAAAGGGGCGCCGAGGAAGAGGGGCGACCGGGGGGAAGGAGTGTGCGCGACGGCGACGATAAAGCGAAGAGGGATACGCTTGCGCTAGGAATATCACCCTCATCTCCTCGCGCACGTCGTGCACCCTCGTAGAGAGAGGGAGGGGGGAGGGGTGCACGAGAGAAGGTGGATAGAGAGAGAGCGGGGCGTGTGCGAGGATAGATGGCAGGGCGTCTCTCCCGGGCCGGGACGCGCAGGACCGGGACGCGCGAGGCCGCGTCGCACGCACTGTCAGTTCCGTTCAGTTTCGCTCGGATATCCGTGCCACGAGAGTGACCTTCGCGTCCGACCGGCTGCCGCCCCGCTGCCGTCCGTTGATCCGCGAGATCAACGTACCCCGCGCGGTCCCGAGCGCCAAAGGCTCGAGGATCCTCGCCGAGAGCGAGCGACGACCCGGAGACACGCTTGTCACACTCGGCCAGAGAGGAACGTCGTCCCCGAGAACGAAGAGAGTGAGAGAGAAAGAGAGAGAGAGAAAGGGGAAGAAAGAGAGAGACACGCCTGTTCCTGGGAAGAGGGAAAGAACGCGCGCTTCTTGGCGCCTTCGAGCCCGCCGGTCATTCCCCGCGTCGAGACACGTTGCGTTCTCGCGTCACGTCGTAAACTTCGCGGGAGTATCGGGGAGACCGAGTGCGTGGGAGACGGCGGCGGGTCGATTCCCCGGTCGGCGAGAGACGCGTGTTCGCACCGGCGAGGGATCCCCCGTGGTCGTCGGCCGCCCGACGGCGATGACCGACCGCCGTGCGACTTCGCCGAGGGTGCGATAAGGCGAGGCGGCGTCGACGAAGAGCGACAGCGCGCGAGGGAGAGGAGGAGGAAAAGCAAGAAAAACGGTGAAAACGGCAAAACGGGGGAGAGGAAACGAGGATTCGAAAGGGATGATGCGCGTATCACGCCCCATCGGCGCTTTTCAATTACGCGGATCTAGATCGCGAAGCTATTAGCGAATTAAGCGGACCGAGCGAGCGGCCGATCGAGGGAGAGGAGAGAGCAAGGGAGGGCGGAGGGAGAAGGAAAGAGAGAGAGAAAGAGAGAGAGAGAGAGAAAGCAAAGCGGGGACTATGCGGGCCGCTGGTGGACGCTACGGGGAAAAAGGAAAGTAACGATCGCGTCGGCGACCGCGTCGCGATGAAATTGTGTCGGGGTGGACTGCAAGCCCTCGAAGTAGCCGTCGGAGGCGCGTGAGCGACAACAGAAACGGTGCCATGGCACGCGGAAACGAGAAAAAGCCGAAGTCGTCGACCCGTCCGTCCACGATCGTCGACGTCGTCTTCTGGTTCTCTTGACTCGTTCACTCTCTCTCTCTCTCTCTCTCTCCCGTTCTCTCTCGGTCTCTTCTCCTTCCCTCTCTCTCTCTCTCTCTATCTCAGTTTCCTCCGAACGTTCTCTCCCTCGGGTTCGCTCACTTCGGCAACCGCTCCTTTCCGGCACGTTGCACCGATCTTGCGTGTCAAGTGCGAAACTCGCACGCTCAGCCACTTTCGCGGCCCCCGGCGGAAGTCAGTCGGTCGTCCGGTCGACATCCCTCAGGATCGACCGGGATCGGAACGGGGATAGATCGTCGAGCAACGCGTGGCCCGGAACGACTATGAGAGAGAGACAATGAGGTGTCTAATGTTGACCCTCTGCGGTCTGCTGGTTTCGGGTGAGTCGCCCGCGATCGTTTTGTCGTCTATTGCTGATATTCTCACATCATACATACACACATACATATATAACGACACATAGTGGGACTCTCGGCGATAAATTGAAGACGGGTGGTGATAGGGGGGATGTTGGAGAGCGCGGTAGTTTAGGGAAACGCGATCGTAAACGCTTTCAGCCAGTGGGTAAACGCGCGCGGACCGGATGCATGAATAAATGAAGGGATTATTAATAGATGAGGGAGCGAGAAAGAGAGAGAGAGAGAGAGAGAGAGACATAGATATAGCGTTGAGATATTGGAGGATGGTTCGTTTTGTTATCACACATGGAAATATTAGTTTCTCCGGGCGGTTATCGCGATCAACCTTTCCCAATGTAATTCATGCACTCGCCCTGCGGGATATTCCGCGGTGAAAAATTCCCCCGAAGATTCATAGGCACTCCTCCCGCACGAGCGGCGGTGTCCTTCGAAAGCACTCGCGAAAAATAACGAGGTGCCGAGCGAAAAGGAGACGACCGAATTTCACGGTCCGTGGGGTTTCGTCGATTTGCTCAAAAAGAGAAACACGTTCTCGATTGAAACCAACGTTAATGGCGGGGCGGAGGAAGGCCATTAAAAGTTAACAAATGATAACGTTGAAAGGCTGCAACATTTAGAGCTGCGATATTAATATTGATCGTCATATAAAATAGTGACTTTAAACAATTTATCGTTCAACTTACCGCACAATGCGTAATAATGAAAAACTGATAGCACAGCGTCCGTATTTCAGCGGTCGTTCGACCGCTAAGCGGCCCTCGACCGCCTGCATCCCCCTCGTATTCGCTCTCTTCGAGGTATTTCCGGTTCGATTAATGAGTAATATATCGACGGCAAAAGCAGACTTACGAGACTGTGGGTGTCCAGGAAACATGCAAACACTAATCTCGTTTTCTTGTTTTTTCCTCACTTTTTTCTCAAAGGGGAAAGATGGGGCGAAAGGAGAAAAAAAGGTTAATAGCATTAATTACGGATACGGATCGGGCAACGCGTAAACCTCCTCTCTCTTTCTCTCTCTCTCTCTCTCTCTTTCTTTCTTTCTTTTTCTCCCGCTTCCTGTCTTTGCATAGCGTTGCATATTTTTTCCCCTTTGCGGAAGTCGCGCGACTGTAATGTGTCCTAGCCGAGCGGAATACTGACGGTATATCATAGCGGATTTAGTTAGCTCCGAAACTTGCTCCGAACTTTGTAACAACTCGGTCTTAACATTAGCTTCGCTCAAAACGCGGATTTATGCAGCAATTAACCCCGCGAGTCAATGAGCCAATACATCAATGAGCGTTCCGAACCGAGACGGGGGCGGAGCGGGAGACCGCGTACGCGCTCTCGTCGGATTATTCTTTTTCCCCGATAACCGGGAACTAATGATTATCGCGACAAAGGACGCCTAATTATAGAGATAGCAGGAGAGACTCGGACGTTATACATATATACAAAATAGAATTAAAACGAGACCGATAAATGAGAATCGAGACACCGTGAGATAATTTTCCGCTTCAGTGGAATGGACGGTGCACGGAGAATTTTTAGAATGAAACTGTCCATTGATATTGCCCGTGCACCTGTTTGTGTGTGTGTGTGTGTGTGTACGCGTCAACGCGCGCGAAATTTACATTAAATTATTTATCACGTTCATTATGTCGAATGCATCCGGTAATTACGCCATCGGTTGGGGCAAAATTTCAAAGGTAGAATTCACTGTTGAGAGTGGACTAATTCTGACAGTCCTTTAACCCCTTTGAGTCCCGGAGAAATCTCTGCCACGAGTGAAATTAAATTAGTATTGTTATTAGGGTTTCCGAGATTTCGCTAATTAAAAATCTGTGGTTAAAATAGCAAAATTCAAAATCGCTAAAAATTTAGTGAAACTTGGATATAAATTGTTTATAAAGAGCTTTCAAAGTCGATTATCACAAATCTGAAATTATTAAAACAAAACTCAGTCTGAGTAATCAAGTATTGCATCGAGATTATAAAATTTCTAATAAAAAAATTCATTATAGTGTATATAAACAAAACCTACTGAAGATAAAATTACTAAACCCGCCATATTGGATCTACCATTTTGAATTTTATAACTTTGAGATGAGATCCATAATGAGAGCTTTTAAAAGTTTATAGATATCTACTTTCATGAAAAGCTATCATCCACTTCATACCGCCTTCATAATCATATTTTCATTTTTCTGGTGAAAAACAAATCATCCTTTCTTAATTCATAAACCACACCTCATATTTGTGATATTTGTTGATATTTCTGTAAGTTACGATTTTTTTATAGCCGATACATAGAGGAGCACTTAATTTCCCCTTTAGATTTTGTTGAATATCCCAGAAAATGAAAGGGAAATTGAAACATTCTTATGCAAATATTGTGGATATTTTAATAACCTATCTAACTATATTGATCAAGCAAAAAGTAATAATGATTCTTAGAGTAATTTACATTTTAATAAAACAATCGAAACATACCAAGTGTCCCCTATTCTGAGAGACTTGATCCAGGGATAGAAGGGAGAGACTTGATTCGAGGGGATCGCGCCCTATATTTTAATTAAGATTAACAGATTAATCTGTTATCATGCTCTGCTGGCGAATCCTGTTATATTTCTGCTGGCTAGCTGTCGACAAAATTTATAGCAGTTACCGTGCAAAACCTGCTATTGTAGGTTCGGTTGTTTGCCTGGCTTTATACTGGGCAATATTTGCTGAATAAATGTCAATATAACCAATATATCGCCGATGAATTGTGCTACTAGGAAGACTTGTTTCGCGGATCAAGTGTTCCCAGTCTGACGTGGATCATGTTTATCCAAATAGTACCTTATTTAAATTTTCATTTCATTTTTCGTTTTTATTTTTTTTAACTCTTTGTTTATAGGGTCTTGATCTAATTAAAACCTAACTACTTAAATAACAATTGAATATTTACCAAAAAAAAAAAAAAAGAATCAAGCACTCCAGAAAATAAAATATATCCTCACTCTGTTGTGATCGGCGCACAACTGCCAAAATTACATTGAACGTTTCCTACAAAATCAAGAACGAACATTTCTGTCAACATAAAACGAATGAAACCTTCCCATTGTCGAAATAACGGCTAGGGATCAAGTCTCCCAGAGGATCAAGCATCCCCAGGATCCCTTATACGTACCGAGAAAGGGTTAAGAGAGCAACTGAAATTCGCGCGCGCAAAGTTAACATCTCTTAATTCCGACTTCAAATTCAAGATTACGTCGAGACGGCGGAATTGGCTGCGCTCACAATTAGTAGCCGCCGTTCAAACGAGAGTACGGACTTGCGCGGCGCACGTAAAAAGGACGCGAAGAAATTAAATCCACTGTACATCTCAGTAAGATTAACCGTAGAGCACCAAGAAAGCAGCTGCGGGTTGGCATGGAAATCCTGATATGTATTTTAACGTGGGTTATGCGGGGCGCCGGCAAATCTCTCTCCCTCCCTCCCGCCCCTTTCATACCGTCGCTCCCATCTCTCTGTCGCGGTACCACCTTCCCCGCGCGCAGTGGCGCGCGGCAGGTAAATATTTACTCGCACAACTACCTGCATTCCCCTCGAACTTACCTTTTTGGTGGCGCGCGTTTATTTTTAACGCACGATTTTCCGACGACGAGGGTTTATCGGATTTGGTAACTGCGCTCGAGCGGAGTTAGATGTCTAGGATAAAATTTTTCCTTTCTGAGAGAAAGAGAGAGAGAGAGAGAGAGGGGGGGGGGAAGAGAGAAAACGCGTGCAATGTGCAAGCTGCGCGCTATTTGCCCGCCTACGTGTGCGTGCGTATGGCCGTATATCTCGTTTGCAACGTCCATAAGAAGTTCTTTCACGTTGTTACACATTTTCGCTATTAATGTTGCGAAGGGTGTACTCAAGTTGGCGCTCATATATACGGGCGGCTATATATTTATCGGACTATGTGCGTGTATGTATGTATATGTACGTATATATGTATCGGTCCGGCTCTGAAGTTACGAACTTTCCGGTAAACGATGGGCGATTCACAACGTTGGGAAACTTGATAAATGAGTAATGGAGAGTTCACGCTGTCAATTTATGATTTCACTATCTTCTCTCTCTCTCTCTCTCTCTCTCCCTTTCTCCGCGCGGCTATTTATGAATATATACATATAATAGCGCTATGAGAACGCGCGTTACGTCACGTATGTCACGCGATACGTGTTTCAGCGGGATATATTTCCCGTCGCACGTCTAACTGCGAATGTTAAATGCGTTTCGACATGTCGCGGGCGCGAGCGCGCGCGCGCGCTCCGAGGCCGGTCAGAATAGAGTGAACGTTTTACATTTCCGGGACATTTTTGCAATTAAACAGTTTTTACCGTAGAATTCGTTGCCCCCTCCCCTCCCTACCCGGATAGAGTGAGCGCGGGAAGAGCGCGGAAAAATTGCCGAGAATTTCTTATCGCAATTGGGCGGGCGATGTACAAAGCGGAATAAAACGAAATCGATGGCACGCGCGAGCGAGCGAGCGAGCAACATTCGCGGCCGACACGGCGGAGCGAAAAGTTTCACGGCGCGCGGGGACCGCCAGATCCCCCCTTCCGCAAATGAAAGGCTTTGCACGAATTACGCTTTCAGCGGCGCAAATAAATAACGAAACATCGCTCGCTTCGGCTTCAATTTGAAGTGGACTTTATTCCACGGGGAATCTTAATTCCGGACCTCGTTACGTGCGCGGAGTATATCCGAGGGTATCGGGAGAAAAATTGCGGCGGATGACGATCTCCCTCGACATTTTCGAAGTCGAAGTAAATTACTCGTGCGCCGCGCAAGCGTCTCGTGGGCGGAGGGGGATAAAAGAGCCGACCAAAAATTTACTCGGTCGTCCAGCTCGGATTGACCTTAACTGGCTGTCGGGTCTATCTAAGGTTACACTATCGGGCTCTAAGAAGTCCATGTAACGCTGCGTGGTAATCCGCATCTTAATCAGGATTCATTATAATGTCCTCATCGGGTCGTACTATTGAATCTATTACTATCCTAATACCGTCGAATAATCCTTATCACGTTTTTCTACCTTAGGTAATGGAAAGGATTATGGTTAGATTAGGATTTGTAAAGAGCAGGCTGTGCTAAAATAGTGAGGAATATCTGTAAAATCGGAGAACGAATATTGCTAGAATTGAGCGATTTCCTTGTTGACAATTTCCAGGTAGATTCCCGCGGAAATCCATAGGAATTCAATGTAAATCTATAGAGGATAATAAAAATCCGTATAGAAATGACACCACATGGCGTGTAAAAATCCATGTAGGAATTCGCATGGTTTGTGAAAATTCATAAAGGAATTCACATGAATTCCTACCTAGGACCTGGATTTTTGGCGCAAATCTCCAGGAGTAACTATGGGATTTTATATGGATTCCCACCTAATTTTTTTTTTTCAAAAGGGTTCCGAATTTAATAATGCAAATAATATATATAGAAGTAAACAAGTTACTGCGTTATCAAAGTCGAAAAGCATTCAATTCTAATTAATATTTGTCCTTTGATTACATACTTCAATTACATGCAGGGAATTTGAAGCTTTATTGCCAAGCCGAAGTGTGAGGATCATTTGAATCAAAATAAACAGAAATGTATGAATATTGCAAAATTCACAATAATCATTAATGAGAGGAAAGCGATAGGCCGGACTCTGTAGGCATATATGAAAACTGATGGCTTCCGCTTTCCGTGCGTCCATTCAATCAGACGATTTAATTAATTATGTAATTATTATTACGAATTTTGCAAAATGCGTAACTTTTCTCTTTAATTTAACCCGTTTTACTTGCACACCACGAATATATATCGAAAATTTTCGGACACTCTGTAAACAATAAGTTTTTAAAAAATATACAGTCGATGAATGATGGTTGATTTAAGTTTTATATAAAATATATATGAATATGTTATAAGATCTTTTCATAACCTGAAAGTAAAAAATAAAAATATTTTTATGGGTAAAATTATAAAAATAAAGTTTATTATTAGTCAAAACTACGATAGATGAAGTTTGTTATGAAAGATTCGTATTAAAAACTAATATTGAAAGCCATAATAATTAAAACGAGTAAAATAAAAAAATAACCTGATTGATGAAACTTTGTAAAATAATAAGGTAATAATTAGGATAATAATACATTATAAGGTTTTAACATGTACCTAATCGTTATAACCTTATAAAGGTCTTCCTTACTCAATCTTTTTCAGTACATGATTATTAGTTAGGATTATTTTACGCTCACGTAGATTGCACTTTGCTATCAGCTATATTTAATGACAATTTCTAGTCGGGAAAAAGAGGAGGAAAGAGAAGAGGAAACAGGAAAAGGATTAAATTTAGAATCTGTTTATGGTCATCCCGCGGCGCGTTCTTGCGAGCGTTTCATAAAAAATTAGCCGATTACGCGCAGAAACGTGTTACGTAAAACGCCGGTCGGCCGCGTTTGTTGTGTGTACGCGCGCGCGAGCGTTTAATTTTGCGTTATCGCGCAACGGGGGAACTGCGCGGGCAATAAGAATTAAAGAACGTCGTTAACTCGGAAATAATACGACTTTCTACGGCGATGTGGAAAAAGGAGGAAAAAGGGGGCAAAAGCTGCCGCGCGCGCGGGATGCACTTTATATCGCGTTATTAATAAATCGTTCTTCTTTATAACGTCCGTCCCGACGAGGACTGTAACGATTCGAGAGTTCGGAAAACGACGAGAGCGTCGTCGCAAACGAGCACTCGCGAGGAATGAATCGCGAAGAACGGCTCTCGCGCGTTTTTACCCTCGAAGCTGCATCCGCATTATTACACGGAGTTTGCCTTTCTTGCCTCGTTATGTAGCATCAAGAAACGGTTAGCATCGGGAGCGTGACATCCGGACGATTTTCAATGGATTTGCCTAATTAACCGGAAAACGGAACAACGAGAATGGAGAGAATGCGACGGCGGAGAAGACGCCGGAGCGTCCGTGTTAGCGCGCGCGCGCGGAAGGTTTGAAAAATTAACGCGTCCCTCCGGACGTCTTTACGCGTTTCTCTCGACCAACATTGTTTTCTTTATAGCCGGAATTGCTCTCTGGTCTTTGTTAACGTCGACGCGAAGACGTAAGCGTGACATTCCGATTTTTATTTGATTTACTTTATTAACTGGTAAGCAGACTACGCCGGAAATGTCGGAGCAATGCTGCGTGAGCGTCTGAAAAATTAGCGCGTTTCTTTCTCCGAACAACGTCTTTTATCTCTCTCTCTCTCTCTCTCTCTCTCTCTCTCTCTCGAAACATTTCTTCTCGCTCCCGCGCTCGTTCCCCTCCTTTTTTCACTTCCTCTTTCTCTTGGCGATATAAAAAGAAAAAAGAGAAAACAGATACACCGACGTGACGACCTAGCTTGTCCTGAATCCTTTAATCGGCCGAGAAACGAGGGAGAAAGGGAGGGAGGAGGAGTGGGAGGCTTCATCAATAATACCGTTAGACGTTAGAACGAAGCCGGCGAATAGCCGCTCGATTTTTCTCGGCGTTACAATTTACATCCCCTGCGCGCATCTCCTGCACGCCCTGGCTTGAAAGATTCATCGTATCTGTCCGCTAAGGTGATATTCTGTTTGCTTCAAGTGCAAGGACCTGCCCGTTGCACGGCCGATCGCAGGATACACGAGGACCGAGCGTCGGAACCGCTCGACCGCGGGCCGTACTTCGAAGTCTCGGCCTCCCGCAACGTGACAGCCCTCGTCGGCAAGACGGCCACGCTGAACTGCCGAGTCCGGAATTTGGGCGATCGAACGGTGAGTTTAATAAGTGACAGCGAGGAGATAGAGAGAGAGAGAGAGAGAAAATGTCCACGTCCAGCTTATACGCCACGGGGCGCCGGAAGCGTATTTTGCGAAGGACAACGGAGGAACGCAGAGAACGACATTTTTAACGATATTTTATCTTGAGACTTGAATAAAGGGGATTAAAGAGGCGAGGACGAGAACTACAGCGCGCGCGCGGTGTACAAAGAATACTCGATAATATTACAATAACGACTGCTATTTTCTTGAGATTTTATACTTAGTCTCAGAATTTTAATAGTATTATCTCTCCCCCTCTCCCCCCGTTTCTCCTGCTCTCCTATCGTATAATCTGGTCGAACAGCCAATAAAGTTGAATATAACGCTATCTCGGTATTATATTATATAAGTTGGCGTAGAACGCGAAAAAAACCAAGTATCGGTAGAAGGAGATTTCTCTTCTTTCATACTCTCGAGCTCATCTCAACTTCCTCGCAAGAGTGCGAGAGAGAAAGAGAGAGAGAGAGAGAGAGAAAGAGAGGAAGGAAGAGGGAGAGAAAGAGATAATTTACGAAGAATCCAGCAGGATGAAACCTCAGGAAGTATCTCTTTGGCGGCTGCTCGAAATAAGTCCACCTAATATCGGCGGAGCCGGTCTCGATTTTTAGCCGGGCGTTGTAATCTGCATTACGGCTCTCCCTCCTCGCCCCCCCCCCCTCTCTCCCTGCTTCTCTCTCGCTCGCTCGCTCGCCGGCTTTTGCCGCGCCCGTTTCGCTCGTCTCCGGCTCGTATCGAAATCGACTGTCAGTGGTGCAAAATATATCAGCCGTAATATTCTTGCCGGAAACTTTTGCCAGAAATGGATTGCCTCCAACCACCGCTCGCTCGCTCGCTCGCTCACTCGCGCGGCTCGAGATACGATGTTAAAAGCCGGTAGATACTCGTAACTTACTCGCGACATGTATGTATTCTCTCGTGTCTATCAAGTTCTCTATGTTATATCTGGCCCAGACTGAAGGTACAGCAAAGCTTCTCCCTCCCCCCCCCCCCCCTTATTTCCCTCTCTGTCTAACCACGTTTCGCGGATCAAATCGAGAACTATGTCGAAACGCGCGACTATCGCGCTCGCTTGTTCACTCGAAGTCGCAACGCGATTCTCACAGATGGGATTTTCTGCGAGTCGGGCGATAGCACAAGAGTAGAGAGAGAGAGAGAGAGAGGGAGAAAGAGAGGGAGTCGAAGAAAATGCGATCACCGTCGAAACTCGCGCGGCAATTCGCGACAACTCGCGAACACGGCGACTACGCGCGCGATTTCGCCGCACGCTCGTTGTTCTCGCTCGTTCTCGCGATATTGTGCGCTTTTGCCGTTTTTGCCGCCACCGCCGCCGCCGCGTGTGTGTATATGTGTAATAAAGTTGGCTCGTCGCGGGACACTTATGTAACGAGGTAAAACATTACAGTCGAGGATGGACAAGACCGCCGTATTTTTCTCCTCCTCTTTGATTTTTTTTCCCCCCCTTTTTCCCCGTTTTTCCCCTCGTTTTTCCCGCCTTCCCTCTCTTTCACGTCCAGCCGGCGGAGTGCGCTTGAGAAATTTTCGCGAGACAAAAGAGACAGGAGAGAGAGAGAGAGAGAGAAAGAGCGAGCGCTCTCGTCTCGTCCCGCCACATCTTTCGCGTCTGAGTTCTCGCTCGCCGCACACTCTCGTCTCTCTATTCCGTTAACACCGTTTTTTATATCTCGCCGGTATAATCCATCCCTTTGCCGCGTTCCATGTGCGTAGGTAGTTGAATTACTTTTTTAGAAAGACGGGTAGGAGAGGGAGGGGCATGTAGGCAGACATGTGCGGGCTTTGCGTTTCGCACTCGTGCGCGCGTGCAATCCGGCGTAAAATTTTCATGGGAAATTCGTTTTATGCCGAATGATGAATCGGCGGCGAGATCGTCGCGGAAAATCCGACGTTTATGGATGTTTGGCGGAGGAAACGGAATATGTGTAATTTTTACACACGGGCGGCATAATCCCGGCCTGCACGCACATCCCCGCTACCGCGGTGGAATTATTTTCTTCGCCGCGCGCAATATCACTCCGCACGCTCCAGTTCGTAACATTACGTTAATTCTTACCCTCGCGTATTGTTTGTTGTTGCACGGGCAAATTTATGTTAATGCGATATAAATATAATATCATAGCGCTCCGCGATATCTCATTTAACGTGTGCAATATAACGCATCGTATGTGTGGTATAAATGACGTGGTATGGACGCATTATGGCAACATGGCGGCGGGAGGGGGAAAAATCTCTCCTTGTTATTTGTAAGTACAGCATCGTTGCGGCGTTTCCCCCGGCGACGTCCGGACGAATCGTGATTCGCGAAAAAATGAGATACTCTCGTACACGACGCGATTCCGTCTATTACCGTCATTATACGTTCGTAGATCAAACGATCGAATTTCTGGAGCGCCCCGAGATTCTTTAGATCTCCGCGACTCTCCGCGAACGGCAATCTATTGTATGCCGTAATCATGAGAGGAAAAAGGGCGGAGGGGTAGAAGAAGAGGAAAGAAACAAATAAAGGGGAGGAGGGAAGAAAAGAGGGAAGAAAGTTTTGACGTTATGTGACGCTTGGCAAAAGTATTCGGAAACGTTGGGAGCACGGCGAAAGTTGGTAAATCGATATATATCTCTTTCCGCCCCGGCATTACGAGCGCGCATCCCGCCCCGCGAAATCGAATGTTCCAGCGATGCTTCTCTCGTTCAGATACAATGTAATGCGTTAAAGTGAAATATAAATGGAGCCGGCTTGTTCCGCGCGAATTTTTCAGCGGGCCGGTCTCGCGGGAGATTGAAGCGCGCGCGCGCGCGCGTCCCGACTCGTGTCAATTTTATATTTTCCGGAAATCGTATTTTTTTCCATCATGCTAATAACAATTTCGGGCGAATTTCACGCTAATAACAATTGCAGGCGAGATCCTCGCGCGCAAATCGAAACGCGCACGCGCGTGCGCGCCCTTGCGTCACAACCGTGTTAATTTTATTTCTCGAAATCGTATTTTTTTTACAAACTAAAGTCTTCGCACCGGCTAATTGCGTTCCCGGCTCTCGGAAATTAAGTTTCAACGTTTTAACGTGCGCATTTTCACCCTCTCTCTCTCTCTCTCGCTCGCTCGCTCGCTCTAACTGCAGCTTTTTCGAATTCACCGCACGATGAATATCGAAAGGCAATCGTTACATCTCGATGATCATTTGAATAATCAGCCGGCGTTTGTTGGCAAAAGCACACTCTCGTCGCCGTCGTCCGGAAGAGGCGGAACAGACGCGCGGCCGATTTTTTTTCTCCTCCTCCTTTCCTCTTTATTAAAGCTTTAGAATCGAATGCGCTCTTTTCATTAGCACTGGATCGAACGTAACCGCGAGCAGGAACAAAAGCCGCGTCACGGTCTTGTGCCCGCGCCTTCGCCTCTTTTCATCTCGACTTCGGTACGCCAAGCACGCGTGCAAAACTCGATGAAGCCGTTTTTATGGGAGAATACGCATTTTCGTTGTACGTGTCCGGTATTTCAATATCGACCACATTCGCACGCTAATATACGCGCGCGAGCACACCCTGCATTTATGTAAATCAATCACGCCAATCTCTCTCTCTCTCTCTCTCTGTGGCGAAGAACGGGCGACACGAATCGTCGTCCGGTGCGTCGACGAGAAATGCTGATTGAAATCGCGGGTCGTAATTTCGGCGAGTTCGATTTCTCGCAGAAGCGTGGAGCAACACGGCACGGGCTCGTGTTCGCCGGATCGACGTGCGGATTGCGTTTAGTAAATCCGATTTGGCAGTGCACCAATATCAGCCAACGCCGCGCGCCTTTTACTCGCATCATGTATTGTATCATTTACCATTTACCCTTAAGCGCCACTGAATGTTGAATTTTGCGTCCCCAATAGAGCCATCGTTATTATTATTATACGTAAGTAGGAAATTATCGGGTCACTGTGGTCAGTGGTAGAAAAATCACCTGGCCGGCCGAGTCGGAATTCTGATGCTATTTTGAGGACTAAGAGAGATGGTCTAAGAGAGATTAATAGAAACTTACTTTCACAGTATTGACATTTAATTAACTTCTCTCTTGAACTTTCAAATTCTACGCGGAGAAAATGTTGTAATAAAAGTTGTAACAAAATTTTATAATGTTGGATTATTCCGAAATTATAACTGAAATTATGATGTATATTTCATTGTATACGTCACAAAAGATTACAACGTACATAATAATTTCAGTCATAATTCCGGTATGGTCCAGCAAAATTTTATGGTAATTCTTACTATAGGATTTTTTCCGTGTAAAGATTTCATTTTAACGCTACCTTGAACAATCTATTTTGACGCTGGAACAGCGGAAACGGAAATTTCAGGTATTGTCGGGGTCAAAGTAGGAGTAAATTACATTATTAGAATTGAACTTGTATGTGTGTGTGTGTGCATGAACCTATTTTACTCTCTTAGGCTCCTATTGTCGAATTAAAGGTTTAACATAGATGGAGAAAAATAATTTACCGGCATAGCAAATTTTATGCTTCCGCAGCAGGATCCGTTACGCTGAGAGAAAAATACTTAAAAATTTATTTATGGCATATAAAGTTTATTTCACTTTAAATAAACCTCATATCTGTGAAACAACCTTGTATCTCACAAGTAAGTTTTCAAGAACTTTTTTCTCGGTGCAGTTATTATATGTCGACAGCAGGACGATTTTTGTTAAGAGTACCCATTGCGCTCTCGCTGGATTATTTCGCTGAATCCACGCAAGTTATTTTGCTGTAAGAACACTTGTGTGAATGTAACCGAGCACTATTTTGTCCCAACAGCAAATTAACTTGTCCCGGGGAGAAGTTCACTCAGCAGAACTGTTTCTACTCTAATTACGAATAATTCGCTAATTTGCTCACGCCGACTAAATTTGATCGCTGTCGCAACGCATACGCAGTACCAAACGCTGTGGTCTCGCTGCAACATCAGAATTATTTTTCTCGCTGTAGGATCAGAATTCCGATTCGGCCGCTCGCGGGTTGGCTCGGTCAGTCGCGGACGGACAGAGGGAATGTTTTTACGCTCGTTCGCTTATCCATTTATTTATAAACGGGATTTATACATTATTACAAACAAAAAAGAAACAGTCGGCTCCACATGACACAGAAAATTTGGACCAACGTTGACGAATAATATATCGGCCACGAGTGTCCGTGCGATATTGGAGCGACATAAAAATTTATACGCCAGAGCGAGAGGAAATAATTAAACAAGACAGAGAGAGAGAGAGAGAGAGAGAGAGAATAAAACGTACTCTCACACGCCATATTGGTAATATTACATCGACCTGCCGTGGGCGTGCGCTTATGCTTTCGCGAGCGTTGTGTAGAGAACAGGCAACTCGAGCTAACTCGCGAAGAAATTCGCGGAGAGAGGAAGAGAAAGAGAGAGAGAGAGAGATAATAAACTCTCTCTCGTAGCGGCATCGAAATCCGAAGCCGGCCCCGAAGAGTGTCTCGGACCGATTGAGTTCGCGAGTTCGAGTTCGAGTTCGCGCGGCAACTCTCGGGGCCAACAACCCCCGGAGGCGGCTCTGGAGCTCTCGCGAGTGTGGTAGAGGCGGGAGAGGAAAAAGGAGGACGTCGCGCGGATGCTCTTCTTGCTTTTTTCCAGGTGTCATGGGTGAGGCATAGAGATATCCATCTCCTGACCGTGGGTGTCGAGACGTACACGTCCGACCAGAGATTCGTCGCGTCGCATTTTCCCCGCACGGAGGACTGGACGCTACAAGTGAAATACCCACAACGACGGGATTCCGGCACATACGAGTGTCAAGTGTCGACGACGCCGCCCATAGGTCACTCCATGCACCTCTCCGTTGTCGGTTAGTTCTTTTCACGTCGTGCTCTTCCCTCATGCCTCATCTCTCTTCTCCTCTCCCCTCCCCTCTCTCTCGTTCCCGCAGCCGTCTCGTTTTTCACGGAGACGCACTGATTCCGCGGTGCAACGCCACGCGAAAATTTACGCGTTGTCTATTTGCCGTCGGCGGCTTAACGCGCACGTGCATCGCGATGCATACGCTCCCCCCCCCCCCTTCTGCCCCGGTAGTTTTAGTTGTCCTAGTTGTTGTATTGTTGTTGTTGTTGTTGTTCGGCTGCTGCCGCCGAGCCGCTGATTTACCGCGCGACTCAATCATTCGGCGGAATTTCCCGCCGCGGTGTCGAGCGTTCCCATCGCGGGCGCGCGCGCGCGCGCGTGGCACGTCAGTCTCTTTCACCGCGCTTTTCCGCGCGCTCGATGAATTTTTCAGCCGAAATTGAATTGGATTATGAGACGTCCTCGGTCCTTGCGAAATCGTCTGCAGGTCCGTCGCAACCCGTCCCCCGCGAATCCTGGGATTTTTACGAGGCTCGCGGGAGCTGGCGCGCGCTCAGCGAAGACAGACGGACGGACAGACGGAGGATCGCAATTACAGCCGGCCTCTCGCGAATTATGAGTCTCCGTTTCTCGCGCCATGTGCGAGCGCGCCCGCCTCGGGAATGATAAAGTTCCGCCAGTCGGGCTGCCGTGATTCGGGACTTAGCGCGCGAACTTAATATTAACAGCTTAATGTTAATATGGCTTAATCATTCACGGACTGCTCGGCGATTTCAACGTGCTTTGCTTTGCCGTTTCCGGCGCAATTTGCGCATTGTGCGCGATGCCGATGAAATTTCAGCCGACGGCGAAGTTAAGATCTCCCGCGCGAGAGACACCCAGCTAGGAGAGATCCGAATATCGCCCTGTTTCTTCGGGATTTTCCTCGCGAAAGTTTCGCGCGCGGCCCGTCAGCTCGAGATCCCCTTTTCCGGGGTAGTTCCGTGAACTTCTGGTCGTCGACGTCGTCGTCGTCGACGTGCGATCGCGCATTTCGGATACACCAGGGGAAAAAGACGCTTTGTCTCGTTGGAATTGTAGTCATTTCGGCGCCGAGAGCATATCTCGCGGTTGATCCGACAGGAAAGTAACTCCGAGTCGATATTTTCATGCTACTTTGACGCTCTTAAGGTAGTTGGCTCGTCGAATTATTTTCTCCGGGAATCTTTCGAAATTAGCTTATACCGATGGAAATACTACGTATAATATATAGTATAATGTTTATAAAGTTAAGAAAACGATTCTAAATCTGAAATATTGGTTACCGAAGATATTTTTGCTATTTATTTTTTTATATTTTTATATTTTACATATTTTATATTTTATATGTATTTTTTTCTTAGAGATTAATGCTCCATTTTTAGCTTCTGTTTTTAATTCTTTTTATAAACCATATTTGGAATTTTGCTGGAAAATTATCGTGATATCAAAAATGTAACATAAAGACATTGTACAAATTTCAGAAATTTTCACTTCATTTTGTTTTGAAAATATAGCTGTGGAAAATTTATAATTAATAATAACACCCGCGATATATGTATATACATACATATTTAATTATTTATATACCACTTTTTATTATGTGCTCACTTGAATTAGCTTAACTGATATATATAAAGCATTAATAACAAAATAAATAATATTACCATTTATAATATTACCAATGTTTGTAATAATTTTGTGTTGAAAATCATTACAACATTTATTACTTAAATAATTAAAATAAAGTTATAGAAAAGTCTGTTTCTTTCAGTAAATAATAAACTGAGGCCTTTTAATATCGCCATTGAAAATCCGGCATTCTACGGATAGACTACCTTAATTATAAAATTATATCATTAATTATATATAGTAAAGAGTAAATTATACCATTAGAATGAAATCGAACCCATTGTGCTATCTTAGCTCCTATTATATTGTAGAATTAAAGGTTTAACGTAATGCCGACACGGGAGCAATATATATGCAAGATTATTATTGCTGTTAACATAATGTTAGCGCATACTGTAAAAATTGTTTGCGTTATTATGATTACCTCACTGTGTTAACAATCCTTTTCAACGTCGATCATATTTTTTTCGTTTCGCTAACAAGAAAAAAAAATGGCAGCAATATGCATATAAAATTATTATCGCTAACGTTTTTTTTACAGCGGTACTTGTAACGTCGACGTGCCCGAGTTGAAATTTCCACGTTACTTTGACGCTCTCAAGATGCTCTCAATAGTTTGCACCTGTTCAGACCTATAAAACCTAATAAAAACCTACTTTGACGATTCCGACACTTGTTAACTTCCCTCTTGAACCTTCCACAGATTTCACCTTCCACCTTCTACAGATTTAATTTCATTGCTACTTTGAACGATCTATTTTGACGCTAAAACAACGGAAACGAAATTTAAATCATTATTGGGGTCAAAGCGAAGATAAATTGTATTAGAATTGAAATTCGTCCGTTCTGTCATCTTGGCTCCTACTGTATTCTAGAATCAAAGGTTCTACGTAGGGTAAGGCAGTCGAAATGTCGACTCGGGAGAAACAGCAATATGCATACATGATCATTATTGCTGTTACGACATTACGGTGGCGCTTGCTGCAAAAATCGTTTTCGTTATTATGATCACCTCACTGTGCTAATTACAATTATTTTCGGCGCCGAGCATATTTCTTCCTTGCGCCCACAAGGAAACGATGGTAGCCAGTGCGCCACACAAAATTATTATCGCCAACGTCTTTTTTACCATGGCACTTACAACGCAAACGTGTTCTTCCCGGCAGTAATAATTTTACCGTGCAATCACACACACAGTCACAAATATCGAGCACTTTACGATCGGTTTAATCAGCTTTGCGATTTCAGGACTCGGACTGCGGACTTAAAATTAACAGCTCACTGTTAATGAGACCCGAGATCAATCACGGGTAGTTTCTCGATAACGCGCGTATTATTTTACCGCCGTATCTCTTGTCGCCCGTCGACACGAGATGGTGATGATTTTCACGTGGCGAGATTAAATCGCGAGATAGAGAGAGGGAGAGACAGAGAGAGAGAGAGAGAGAGAGAGCCGTCGGTTAATAAAATCGTAATGTAGCGCCCCCGGGGATTTTTCCGAAGCTCGTCGCCTACATACTCGTCGAAGTTCGCACGCCGTGAAGCCCGTCAGCAAATCGAGATTGCAATTTCCGCGCGAGCTCCGAGCGAATTATAAATTTCTGTCAGCACTACGCGTACTCGCTCATTTTGCAAATAGTGGGTTTAATCAGCTCTCGTAACTCGAAACTTGCCATGAACTTGATATTAACAGCTTAGTGTTAATATTAGTCTCCTGCAAGACACGAGTTTGTACAAGTTGAATTCAGCACGACGACGACGGTCGATACACACCGTAGCAAACCGCGTGCCGCACTTCTCTGTATCTCTTTTTCCACTTTCTCCTCTCTCTCTCTCTCTCTCTCTCTCTCTCTCTTCCATTTCCTCGACGATAACAATAATTGTTACGTCTGACGAGGAAATAAGAGAGGAAGAACGTCGGATTCGCACCTTTTGCTTTCGATAACTCGGCCGGCTGTAATTTCGCGCGTAATAAAAGCTACACGATGTGTCTATTAAGGTTAGAAATTATACTCGAAGCTTCGGCTCTTCGAATTATATTCGAAATTATATAGCTTTGAATATCTGAAAAACCTTTGACACATTATATTCGAATAGTATAGTTTTAAATTATGAAAATTTGTATATTCGAATGTTTAAATATTCGAAATTTCACGAATTGGAAAGTGCGTGTGTTCGTTTCGTAAGAAATAGTATTTACTGTCCTAAATAATATCCTAAATAATTTTTTCTTCATTGCGTCATATCGTTACATATGGCAAAGTTTACATTTATTTTAAAATAAAGTTAATGAAACTTCTTATTATTCATTATTTGTGCTTTCTCCTTTTACTTTGTTTTAAACTGGACAGATACAAATCTCAGAATTGAAGTAAAATGATAGTTATCCAAACGACACGTACTTCTCTAAAAGACGTTTCACAGACATCCTTCAGCCGTCTTATTGTCTTATTGTTTAAAAGACGTCTTTACGACTTCTTAGGACGTCTTAATGCTATCTGGGTTAAACTGATACTCTCTAATTGCACAGCATTTTGTCGTACTCTCCAAAAAATTAGTTCTATTAACAGCTTCGATATTTCGAATTTTCGAATAGATTTCGAGTAATCCTCGAACTTCGTCGTTAAACGTCGAATTATACTGAAGTTTCGAGACTTCGAGTATGCCAAGTAGTACCATTTCTAGTGCATATATACGATTGTGTATACACGGAAAAAAATTAGTCTTATATATAAATCAATGATAGATATTCTCATATATAAACGATATTATAATCTTCTTGAAAATTTTCAAATTTAATTAATTGATTGGATTTACATTGACGAAAGTATTACTTGCACTCGATTCAAGACTAAAAATCATCTAAGAATATCACAATATTCTTGCTTATGTATGAGAATATCTATCATTGATTCAAGACTTTTGTTTCTATGTATATTATTTTCTTATTATTACCGTTGTTGTTCTTCACTGCAGAGCCGGTGACGGAGATTATCGGAGAGTCGGAGATGTACATAAACAAGGAGAGCACTATGAATTTGACCTGCGTGGTACGACACAGTCCTGAGCCGCCGTTGACCATTTATTGGACCCACGATCACGAGGTAGGTTGTGCCAGCCGAGCGTGTTTCGCGATATCGAAAGCGAGAGCTATTCTTCGGTACGTGTACGTATGTGTGCGACAGAAGAAAATAAGGTAAAACGAGAAAAAGATAGAAAAAGGAAGGAAGAAAAGAGACATAACGGCGACAAATTAATTTTCCATCGCCCATCCCATCGCTAATCGCGGGAACGGTCGCGTTAAAGGACGATAAGTTAAAATCGCTATTCCCCCCGTCGTTTCTACCGCCGCCGAAGAAATTTCTTATCGTCTCTCCACTCAATTGCTCTCGCTCGACGTACTCCATCCCCTGCGACGTGACGTTTTTAATCAAGTTTCTAAGCTTAAGGCTACGAGAGAGTTTGCCTAGGGGCAAGAGTGAGAGAGAAAGCGAGAAATAGAGGGAGAGTGAGGGAGAGGGAAAAAGCAAGAGCGAGCGGGAGGAAGAGAGAGAAAACTTTTAATTTTAATATTACCTGTTCAACGTTTCTCTTTGTGAATTTTTAAATGTACGAGCACGAGAGCCACGGGTAACTCGGTCTCATTTCTCAACTTCAAAACCTATCTCTCAGCCCGCCCTGTCGTCCCGCCGCACCCTCACCGCCGCCACGGCTCCGCTACGTAAAGTTTCTCCGCTGTGTGTGCNCTTGTTTTCCCCCGTCCCCCCTTTCTCCCCCCCCCCCTCCCTCTGTCTCCCCGCCGGTGGTATTATACAACCGCCTATTCCTATGACCGTGTCTGTCTTTTCTGCAGCTCCTTCTCCCGTGGATTCTTACTTAGATCTTATATTCCTACTTTCGCGCCGAGTTCTACCGCAGTTCATCGCATTATCTTTCTCCCTCTCGGCGCCGTCGCCTCCGTCTTCGCGGTGTCTCCCTGTTTCACAAGCTCCCGATATTGTGCACCGCATCCTCGTTACAGCCATTCTCGGTGTTTCACTATCACTTCATCGATACTTCCTAGCGCGAGAATTACCGAGCTCCGGGGAGATAAATGTGTTTAACGCGCAACCGTACGTCATCTAATTTATTTAAGTCGCGGCTCGTTACGCCGCCTGTCTCTCGCCGGTTTCCTCTCTCTCTTCCCTCCTCTTCACCCCTCTCTGTCTCTCTCTTTCTCTCTCGGCAGCGCTGGTATTTGCCGATTAATTTGTTTTACGATCGTTGTCGCTTGTTATGTTTTACTACCTTCTCTCGTCCGTGATTTACGAGCCCGTGATTGACGCCATAATTATGTAACTATAATTGGTGTACGTAAACTTAAGACATCGGGATTAACTGAAATAATCTATCCGCCTTAGTTTCTATCGCTCTTAACGCTTCACCTAACCGGCACGCGAGTGGAAAACCCATTAATAGACTTCCGGGCGATAAAGTATTAGTGTTGTATTCAAGTCGCTTATTTCGAATGTGACGCAGTCCATTTTCCCGTCCACTTTCCCCACCGCGCTTCCTATCCCGCCTCGCGTCGCGCTGGCCGTCGTAAGCGATCAAATTATCATTTCCCCCCCTACCGGAATAAAGTCCTTACGTCACTTCCAGAGCGAGCTCACATCTCATGCGCGTATTTCTTATACATGCAGAGTGGCATCTGCCAATTTATTCCTTTTCTTTTTCCCGCTATTTATTTATCCCTCCCTTCTCGTCGACCGGAATCACCGTTGCAAATCTCTCCTCTCCGTCTCTTGTCGCCTCATCTCCGACTTTATTCCCCGAGAATTTGACTTCCTTCCTTCCGGCAAAGCCCATCTGTTCTGTAGCTCTCGATCCGTTAAGCTTGCCCGACGTCGCGCGCGCGAGCGGGCGAACACGAGGGAGAGATTTTCTCGCCCCGTGTACTTACTTGTTCCGTCTCATCATTCGCTTTCTATCCCCGCGGCGTCCCCGGTGCGCTACTTGCATCTCGTTGCGAGACCGACCTCGCCTCGATCGAGGATAAAGGGAAGAAGAACGGACTCCTCGACCCGTCGATTCGAACGGCAGAAGCTGAGTGAAAAATTCGCGACACGTAGCCCTTCTTATTAGCCACCATATTTCCCGTCTGCCTTCCGCATTCTCGCGGTACGCATTCCACCTCTCACTCTCCCCTCCTATCCCGCCGCTGTGACCCAGTTAACCCCGGGCGTTTGTACGGAGAATTATGCATGTCGAGATACGTAGCGAACGCGTGTAACGTAACATAAATAATGGCACGGGCCACAGGGCGAACTGAGAGGGGAGGTGGGAAGGGGCGCGAGGAGGTAAACGCGCAATCACGCCGCCGTTTCGTCGAAACCGGCTGTATAATTGATTTCACTCGAGCATCAGAGTCCGATAATATTACTCTCAATTAGTTTTGTTACACGCGAGCACACGGTGTTTATCATTATCATATGTTATAATTGCGAGATGAATTCTCGCGCTCATGCAAATCGCGCGAGTTACGTACGGTGTGCTTGCGTAATCGCGCGGAACGAAATTATCGTTTGCGAAAATCTGCGGATGAGGAGAGAGAGAGGGAGGGGGGAGGGGACGAAATGAAGAGAAGACCGACAGGAAGAGAGAGAGAGAGGGAGAGAGAGAAGGAGAAACGATGGTATTCGGGTTGCGAATTCTGAATATCTCCGCTTGCGCGGCGTCCTCCACGTGGAGTAAGACCACCCCGGTGGGCGGCTGGGTATTATCCGCGTTGTAATCCGCTTTATATCCTCATTGAAAAGACTTACGTAAAATCGTCCCGATTCAAAAAAGTTAGCGCCCGCAGACGCGTGAGAGCGCAGCTTGCAGCTCTTGCCGTCTGCCGGAGCTGTTGGAGGAGCGGGATTCCGCTTCTCTGCAAAGAAAGCTTCGTTTCGGATCGTTATTTGATTTCTGAACATCTCGAATATCCGATGCTTCAACGAGAGAGAGAGAGAGAGAAGAGGCAGGGGGAGCAAGTGTGTCGTATTGGAATCTATTTGACAAAGTGTGTCGCCAGGCTTGGATTTATGTCTCTTTGTAATAAAATAAACGTCTCCAGATGCCGTCGAGCGAAAATTGCCAACGTAAGTCCAATCCTCCGCATCTCTCCTTCTCCCTCCTTCTCTCTCTCTCTCTCTGTCTCTCTCTGTGTTACTCGGTTCAGTCTACGGAGTATTGTTTAGGGAATATGTGCATATACTACATACGCAATTAGGGGAGCACTTTCACACTTGACACTTTCTCGTATCATAAGCAATATTCCAGCAACTAAAAGTTACCGAAATCCAAATTTATAAAAGAGCTTTAAAGCTTGAAGTTCCTACTTTCGAGTAAAGAAGGGAAGGAGGAAAACACGAAAAATTTATTCTTTCGGTTTATGCTGATACCTGCTCAGGTTCAATATATTGTCAGTGTAAGTGTGAAAAAACAATTTTTTAACGTTCACTGAACGTTATTTTATTTTATTTTTACAGTTTTCTTTTATTTACCCTGAAATTAAGCAACTTCATCATTTTTCGTACGTTTTGCCCTATAAAATGATAGAGACCGCCATGAAAAAAATATCACAATTATCGGTTTTTTTCTGAATTCAATGTACTTGAAACTTCAAAAAATCGTAAATATAAAAATTTTATCGTTGCTTTACACAGTTTTTTGCGTCTGAGTGGAAAAGTGAAAAATTGCGGATTTTTACGATATTTTCACCTATTTATTTACAAATCGTGAAAGAGAAAATGAACAGTTACACCATTTGGTAGAGCAAACTTTAAGAATACAAGTTGCTGTACGATGATCTTTAACGTAATTATGAGCAACTAAATTCAAAGTGCCTATTTCTTCTTCAACGCTTGGTAATTTGGAAATGAGATATTGTAGAGAATTTTTCACATGGAAAATCTGAAAATTTTCTCAGTTTTTTCTTGCGCTCGTGATATGCCTAAAAGTAACGAGAACATTTCCCATTTTGCCCAGCTCGTCGTTTTCTGTATGTAAAAATTACCAAAATTAAAGGAACTAAAAAACTATGGAGGTTGTTCGAAAGTACAGACTTCAAGCTTTAAAATCATTTTCTAGATTTGGATTTCAATAACTTTTGACGAAGTTACAATTACGTGAGTTTTGCCTCTTTTTTTTTTAAAGAAATATTAAGTACTAATTGTTGTGCGTAGTGTACACACACACACATGCACAAGTATATACAGGGTGTTCCTTATAAATACCCATTTCCTTATAAATACTCATTTAGGACATATTTAGACCGTTTAGGACATATGTTTGTATAAACTATTTTATTTGAAATAAACCAAAGAACCGCCCCCTTTGAGTATGGTTGGCTACTTAAGAAACACCCTGAATATGTGCGTTATGCTCTTGCGAATCCGTTATCTCGCAATCGATAAATACACATATATATGCATCGCGAAAGCTGACGATGATGCTCACGTCGTGTCGTACATACAAAATAGACAGGGGACACGGCCGCGAAAGAGTGTTAAGAAACGCGCGGAAATATGAGTATTCGGCGCGGGGCTGATGTCGAGCGCGTGGGCGGCTTGATATTTTGAATTTCCAGAATTTTTGACACTTCGCGGTCTGCCGACAGCACTCAGCTGTCGAGCCATTGTTACATCGGAATTTGCTGACGGCATGCAGTCCGTGTCATAGATAGGTGTGCGTTGGATCGGTTTATGAAGTGGGAATTTGTTAATGTTATCATCCGTTCGACCAAGTCTCTCGCCATTGAAACTCGCGCGATGAAACGAACGGCCGAAGCGAAACGAAATTTTTTGTTTTCCGAATCAAGAAACCACATCGAAAACGACGGCCCGCGAGCCGCAGCAAAAAATCCGTTTAGTCGGCTCAAACAAAATTCTCGTTTGGACGGGCAAACAGATATTTTGGTTGTGAGAACCGAAATTTTATTGTCTGAGCCAAACTTTTTTCATTTTCGCTTCATAGAAAACTAAACTTTGATCCTCACAACTAAAACATTTGTTTGCCCAAATTCGAATGTGTTATTCGATATGTTATTATATAATAACACAAATGAAATATGTATATCCATGCAGGAATCGTATACGATCGGCCAATACAGGATACCGGCACCGGGCTGGTACCTAAAAGCGGATATGTTTCGATATTAGCCCAGTACTGCTTAGACAGCCCTTACAGAAAAGTATTACTGGCCGTGATAAATCGGTCAGTGATAAATTATTGTTTCTCAGTAGTTTTATTACTCGTACAAATAATAAATCTACCATTTATCGCTGACCAATTTATCACAGCCAGTAATACTTTCCTGTAAGGCAGCACACAATATTTATAATGTAATTCAGGTGTGAGGTAAATTATAATAAATATTGGATACTGCCGATTCACCACTGAAATGTGGATTTTACACGAATGTCTTAAATAGGAAAACAGGAAACGTCACTAAAACGTGAAGTCTAAATCGCTCAGTGATAAGAGCGATTGCTTGGCAAATCGAAGACCCGACTTCGATCCCAGCCGTGTCTATGTCGCCCCGACATTTTTTCTCTTATGAGAGAATATGAGATTAAAAGTGGATATCTCTAGGTACAAAGAAACAGCACTCCGGCCATAGTTCTGACTGTCCCTTCCACAATACGGTAATTTTTAGTACTGTTATACAGTACTGATTTTCGTTACTGTTATTGTGTTGATATTTGATACTGATTTACGGTGCTGATGTTTGGTATTGGCCCGATATTGGCCCGATATTGGCCCGATATTTCTACTATCTCAGTATTGAACCAGTACTGGAATTCAGTACTGTATACCATAAATCAGTGCTGAGCCAGTAGCTTGTCAATGGCAAATTCCTACTTGGATATATACGTTATATGATCATCGACGTGTTATTTTAGCTGATGCTTTTTTTACACATTTCTTTTGTTTCCATTTACACCGGGTGCTCTCCGTGCTTTAAATCACGTCATTTAACGATTGGACATGTTAAACCTGCAGTTTAACACGATTAAACGCTTTAACCCGGCGTAACTTAAAACGGCGGGAAACATGTAAAAAGAACCTCAGTCAAACGTGACATTTTTAAACGTTTACGCGCGAGTTAAAATAACACATTTGGATTTGCAGCGTAAAAGTAACACACACACTTGAATTTCCGAACAGAAATATCGTTCGAGTCGAATAAATGGATTTCTCAGCTGTGCCGAGGCGCCGACCGTGGCGGATAATGTCACATTGTGCGTTTATATGCGCGCGTTCTACATGCGCGCTCATTAGTAATAATTAATCGAAAATTGCCCACCGCGCTGGTTTGTTGAAACTCGATTAAAGGCGGAGGGGTTTCGTTTCGATTGATTTTTTTGTTCAACGCGGGAAACGCGTCGAACGATGGATATTCGATTTGTATACGGCGGAATAAAAGGAGAACAAAATACATATATATATATATATATACATATATATATATATATATATATATNAGAAAAAAATATATATATATATATATATATATATATATATATATATATATATATATATATATATATATATATTTCGCTCTCGCATCGGCTAAAAGCAAACGAAGTGTTTTTTCCCCGTTTTTCGCCCCTTTTCGCGTGTACACGCGCGCCCGCACGTTCGCGCTCGCGCCGACCGCGATCTCTCTCAGGCTCTTTCAGACATAAAACACACACAGCACGCGGATCCAAATAGAATTTTTGATGTCTCAAACGGTTTCAGGAGGCATTCGCGTATTACATTTTTCACCGGCCCGAATACATCTGTGTATAAATCACTCCGCTTCGATCGCGCGCGCAAATATAAACCGAGCCGCGTATTCGTTTAACCCGCGCTAGTCGCTGTTTACGACCGGGCAGAGCTCCCGTTGCAAATGAAGTATGATACGCGGCAAAAATATGGCGGAAATTGCGCGTTCGCTGAATTAATTTCCTCGAAACACACGCGAACGCACGTACGCACGCACACACACACACACACACACACCTATGCATACACAAACGCGCACGTCGAACGTTTGTAACGCAGCTAATCAGTGAAACAGAATGTTAATAACCTTTGTGCCGAGTAAAAGAGCGGAATAACGTTTGGTCGAGGGAGGGAGGTGGGGATGGCAGGAGGAGGGAACCGAAGCGGCGGCAGAGCGGTGGACACGGGAAAAAATCAAAAGTGCGCGCTCAACTCTCGCACTAACTTGACCAACTCGACACCGGGAATGGGGAAATAAAAAGCGACCGGCCACGCGGCAAATTCCAAGTGCGTTTATTTAAGGTTAAATCGCAAGGCTGGAACTCCCTCAAACGGGATGGGGGGGGAGAAATACGGGCGAGAGAGGGAGTAGCCGCGCCGGCGAGGAGCAGTAATTGGAACGTAGTTTGAGCCACTTTAATTACTATACGAGCGAATGTGGGGGGGACCGGGGAGAAAGAAGGGCGCCGAGGGTTTTTTGTCGTTGACTTTAAATAACTTTCATGCAAGCCTCGTTACGGCTCCTTCGTTCAGACGAATCGGGAAATCGCGGGAGCGTCGACGGACAGTGGGCGAAGTAGTGAGGGAAGAAGAAGAAGAAGAAATGCCGGTAACAAGAGAAGCGAAAGAAGCGCGGGTCGAACGTGGAGGAATAGCGGAGAATAGCGCTTAAACGGGCCGAGAGGGCGGCGAAGGGCAGAGCCAGAGAGCGAAAAGAGGAGAACGGACGGTGGGATCGCGGACGCAAACGAGACGTTTTATATCGCGGATATAAAATATCGCTGCTCTCGCGCACGCGATTGTACTTTCGGATTTATAACACTCCGCGCCCGGACGGGCGGACTCGACGGCCCGGCCAAACTTTCAGAGATCCTTTCTGCAGCGCTGACGCATGAGCGCGTTTATTTTGAAAGTGCCGTAAGTCCGGTTTGCCGGAGGGGGGGGAGGGGAGGGCGGCATTATGAGTTTCAGCGAAAACCCCCGGACATAAACTGATGCCCCCGCCCGTATCGATTTTGCCGAAAGTTCTCGAAACTAGATTCGCGCCGTTTTACAAACTGCGAAACGCACGATATACACGTAGGTATACACAGGTATACACAGTGCGAGCGGAGCCGAGAAGAGTGCAGAGAGAGGACTCTCGAGAGTTTTATCAGGGCAGTTTTTAATTCTGCGGAGAGAGAGAAAGAGAGAGAGAGAGAAATGCGGCGCGGACGCGCGATAACATATGCCGCGAACATGCAAAAAATATTTTTAATTAAACAACTTTAACGAGTAGGAGAGATAGCGAAGAGAGCGAGCGAGCGAGCTAGCGAGAGAAAGAGAGAGAAAGAGAGAGCTTTCCCCAATTATCGCGAGGAGAACGCGAATATCCGGCGACTGCTCGATTTACGAGTGTTCCGATTTACGCATCCGGTATCTGCACTTCAATCGAATTAATCCGACGGAGCTCTTCCACGTGCAGCTCGGAATATACGACGAGAGAACGAGAGAGAAAGAGTGAGAGAGGGGGGGGGGGGATCGACCTGTTAAGTATTAAACGTCGGGGCTGTTAAAGGGGATTAAGGTACGAGATTACAAAACGACGTTAAAAAGCAGACCGAGTCGCCGACCGACTCGGCCCGCGATCGAAATTAATTAATCGTCCGATTAATTAATCTTTTCTCCAGTTTCGCGAGAAAGGAGAACGCACGATTGTACACGCGAGGCACGCGCGCGCGCGGAAGAAAATTTAATTAGACTAACATCTCGCCGGTGTCTGCGGCCGACAGGTGATCAATTATGACAGTCCGCGGGGCGGGGTGTCGGTGATCACGGAGAAAGGCGAAGTAACGACCTCGTACCTTCTGATCCAGAAGGCTCAGCCGGCGGATAGCGGACAATACACCTGCCATCCGAGTAACGCTAATACAAAGACCGTCTTGGTTCACGTGCTTAACGGTATGTATGCAGCCCTTTAATCCGCCCCCTTTTGCCGCGGCGCATCTGCCCTTAGCGCTCATGAGCCGCGCCCGCGACTTTAACACACTCGACTCGCTAATCCCCGAGCGCGCCCAGACTGTCGCCTCGGCAAGACAAATATCAATTATAAATATTGGCTCCTTCGTGGATAGAGAGAATATGTAGTATTCGCGAGAGGGAGAGGAAGACGCACGATGTGTCGACCGGAGTATCTCGAATTGCAGTCGGAACATCTCGGATTTCTTACTGATTGGCTTAATTGCTTGCTTGGTCGAAAATTACGGAACTTAGAATTGCCAAATAAAAGGACCCTGTTAACTAAATGTTATTCTAAGTTGGGTGATGTGAATAATAATAAAATAATGGAAACTTTGATTTTTAAGTAACTCAAAAATATATATTTATAAATGTATGTATAGTAATAACGGTATTTTTTTTTCTTATGTAGTTCTCGAACTGCTGAATTTGATGACTTTTAACAAATTTTTAATTTGTCGGGAAAATATTAATATCAACATACGAAGTTACTAAACATTTAGTACCGTCAATTATTAATGTTGATCTTTGCGAGTGTTGTTTGTTTCATTCATGTTTTCCTGTTAATAAAACATGACAATGTTCTTATCTCTAATGATTTATATTTTGATTAACCCACGTCCGTGCTCTATACAATGAAATCTCTATAAGCACACTTTTGAGACCGAAATATAACTGTTTTTTTTTTCAATGTATATATTCTCCTATGTATAATATATAGATTTCCGCTCATTAAAAGTATTTTAATACTATAGAATATTATTATTGGAAATTGTAAGATTTACGCAAAAAAAATATTTAATAACACCGAGATCCGCTTTGACCGAATAAGACTTTCTCCATTTCTTAATTTACGTTGTTCACATATCGGTTGATTTTCATATTTTCATATTTAATATTGTCTATTTTATTATGGTTTTACATTTTCATTGATACATATCTACGTTATAATTTCGCACTCAACAATGTAAATGTTGTATAACACTGATGTATAACACTTCTATAATACTGTTACATAATATTTGTTATAGGATAAGGATCGTTGAGTACGAAATTATAACATAAATATAATGTAACTGATGCTCGATGTTGACTGCGTTTTTATGTATTGAATTGCTTCATATACTGATTTCAATACTTTCCCGACAAGTTAAAATTTTTTAAAGGTCGGAATCAGATTCGGCAGCTCGAAAACTACAAAAAAACATCTCATTTTTATTAGTCACTCCGGGAGCTAAAATCGGCTCATTTTACCTATCGTTTTTTCTCAATTTCACCACCAGAGACGTTCCTTGGCCCAACCATGTATAACCGAGATGAAAGGTCTTTTATTTTAAAGTGCATTACGAAAAGTGAAAATCTAGTTTCAGCCAATAATGTCAGAAAATCACCTTAATGGACTATGTATACTAAATGTATACAGAAAAAGTGTTCGTAAAAAGAAAAACAAAAAAAGTTAGAAGAAGTATCAAGAAAGTTTACTGAAAATCCGACTTTATAATATAAGTATGCCAATAAGTTTTGTGTGAAGATAAATTCTCCCTCTCCCCTGACTGAAATCCTGGCTCTATGCCCGTGACAATAACACATATAAATCACATGTATATTCTCAGAAGAATGCGCCTCGATATATTGCAAACACCCTTCGTAGATAGAGACATTCTGGTGACAAACCAGGCGTCATTTTTTATCAAAAAGTCGGAGATGTCCGGACTCGAAACTTGAGTGAAGGGCTTTAATGCCGACGGTATTAACATGTGCCGCCTCGCAGGGGAGCATCCGGCGGCGATGCAGCACGGCGGCCAACTGAGACTGGCCAATCTACCGTTTGTGATGATCTCCACGACGCTTTTGACCTTCCTCAATCACCCGTATTGAGTGTCCAGCTCCGGGACGAAGCAGCGGCGAAACGCCGATCACGCAGGTATTCGCTGTCGAATTCGTGGTCTCGCCAGGTGGATCCGGCCGGGTCATCCTCGGCCGAAGGATAGCGTGACGGTCCATCGTTGAAGGCCCTCCGGCGTTCGAAGCGAACGGACGACGTCCGAGGGAATTGATCGCGCGAGTTCGGAAGCCTTTCCGCGATATCCGCGTGTCGTTATGTTCATCGCTACTTTATACACCCTCATATCGCATTTTATTAAAATTTCTCTGTCGTGACAGTTTTTCAGCTTACGCTACATGTTATAAAAGAATTTTAACCGTTAATAAACGCGATATTGCTGTTGTTTAATTTTTTATTTTACAACCTATTACTTTGAATCGAATATCCTGTTTTATATTTTATTAAAAAAGCGCTTCTATCTTATGTATGATTATATTATACAACACTTCTATTTTTTTCTTTTTATGTCCACGCGCTATGTGTTTTTTCATATCACTTTTTATTAAAATTTCTTTGCCGTGACAATTTTTCGGCTTATGCTACATGTTATGAAAGCGTTTCTCTATTAATAAATGACATTTATTTCTGTTACTGTTATTTCATTTAGCTTTATTTAACTTTTTATTTAATATTATTATATTTAATTCAACTTTATTTAACATTATTATTATTATTATTTACGTTTCCCTATTAATAAATGACATTTATTTCTGTTACTACTGTTATTTCATTTAGCTTTATTTAACTTTCTATTTAATATTATTATATTTAATTCAACTTTATTATTTAACATTATTATTATTACTATTATTTAACTTTTGAGATTTACGGCCTTTTCAATCGGATATACGGCGAATTTTTATTATTTATAATAGTTCTATCCTGTTATTTTTATACTCACGCCTTATATTTTCTCGTAACACTTTATATAAAAATTTCTCCATTGTGATCATTTTTCAATATTGTACGCCATGGCGGATTTATATAGAAGCTAAAGAGAGAAACGCTGAAGCACCAGAGCTCCAACCAGGGGAAGGGGACTCCAGTCTTTCATTTACTTATAAATTATTCACTCCACTTTTTCATTTACTTGTAAACAGTTAAAGGGCCCCTGAAATAACATTAGCAACAGACCCCGAAAAGTCACCATCCGTCACTGTACCGCGTGTTACAAAAGGATTTTCCCATTAATGAACGATACTATTATTATTGTTATTTAATTTTCAGAATTCCCGAGCTTTCACTTTCAATCGAGCAATTTAATCGGTTTTTATTATACAGTAGTTATTATTGAGGTATCGCGCGATTTGAAAATCGCATTGCACACTCATCGACGAATTTCCCGCAGATTGAAGCTGCGGCCGACGTAGCGTGGACGATCGGAAGAGATACGAGCTCGCGGAAGTCCACACGGATAATGGCCGAAAGAAATCTTACCTCGGCCGGAGGAGAATCGTGACGGGTGTTGAAAAACGCGCGGACAAAAGCGAGGAGCACAGCAAGGGAGGAGGCCGAGGGGGGTAGAGGAGACGGTGGAGGAAACGACGAATGTCGGTAGTGACCGCGCGTGACGCCGGGGTGAGGCGCGAGGAAGGGACAGGTGTAAAAACGACAGACGGGGAGCGAATCCCGGTTAGTGCTGAAATATTGTAAATGCGCGAAGACTTTAGGGCGAAGACAGGGTAGCGACAAAAACCGAACATATATATATATATACATACACACACGCACACATACACATCACACACGCGCATGCACACCCGTATATTCGTGAGAATAACTCTCAACGTTCACCTGCGCATATATACATACATGCATATACACGCACATACACATACATGCATTCGAGCAGCAGGTATAAACGTTACATTTTTGCTTTATCACGGTTACGAGACAATACGTTGTGCTTGCCGAAGGATGTGTACGTGTTACTGTTGATAAGAAAATAAGTTGAGACTTTAACGGGTCCGTGTTAAAATCTATTATTGCGTTGCGAGAGAGAGGGAATACCTATTGGAGAATATACATATATAAATATATATATATATATATATATATACACACATTATATATATATATAAGATACGATGTGAAGCAAAAATGGGAGCACTCGACGAGCGAGACGCGATCGAGCGCCGCCGTCGAGGCTGATCGCGGCGGCAGTCATTCATGCGCGAACAATGCCAGAATTTTGAGGGACTGCCGTCAAGGGAGTGTCGACGGTACAGAAAGAAGGACGGATCCGACGTCGTTGTTTCGCTCGGCGACGAATCCGCCTCTCGGATGTAGCCGTCGATTTAGGCGTCGATTTATAACACGTTCCACGCCGGACCAGTTTTACGCGACTCTTCATCCCCTCCCCCCTCGCTCAACCGTGAGCCAAATTTCATCTGCCGAATGCCGACACGCGTTTCATGATGATGATTATCAAAATATCTCGCGACTCCGTTCCTTCTCGGAGCCACGTCGAACGGGGGCGGCCCACGCGCGGGGCGCGTTGATGGTCGAAAGCAACGCGCGGATGGAGTGTCGTTATTAGGCGAGCTACGTCGAATAAGAACGCGGCCGGAGCTCCATTCACCGGCCGTCGTCGACGGCATTGTCCGCCGGCGCTGCTTCATTTCACATCGGACGATTATTTGACAGCGTGAGATTTTCGCCAGCCGCTCTCGTACCCGACGTTGACACCGACACCGTTTGCTATTATTGTTGTTGCCGTAGAACATCCACGAGTGGGCGCGAGCGATGTGTGTAAATTACCGCACACAGGAAGTGTGGTTGTAATTATAATTTAATTTTAATCGCGATTGTGTGCGCGACTACAATGGGCGGGATCCAAATTATATCGGCGGGAAGATATTGTCCCCGTTGTTATTGTTGTTTCACGCGCGGCCTCTATTGTTGCGCATTCGTACGCGTGAAATATTGCCCCGCGTGTGCATAATTGCACGCCCGAGCGGACAAAGGAACAGACGACGACGGAGACGGAGCCCGGGACGGAGCCTAAGCGAGGGTTAACGAAGTAATTTCCGGAGAAAAACGGGACTCGATCGCTCCCACGAGTCTAATGGACAGTCTCTTGGAGGTCTTCCGCGTCCTCTTGTTCTCGAGATACGCTCGTACGTTCGAATCTCTCTCTCTCTCTCTCTTCCTCACCCTCATCCTCCGCCCGATCCTCGATTCAGTTCAACTCCAGCTGATAGTTAGTCGTGCCAATTTCACGCGCGAACCAGACCCATCACGATCGAGTGTCGACTGTACATCGGCGTGTGTATCGATCGTGTATACATCGCTCGAGACATCGCGCTCCGCCTCTGTTTTCCTTTTCTCGACTCGATCTATAATTTCACATGCGAACGACGTTGTATCCGGCGTTGTATAGGCGCATACAGATCTCTTCTGGGTTCTCTTCCGGTTCTCACCGACAGCTGCTTCTTTTCGCGAGAGAGCGAGAGAGAGAGAGAGAGAGAGAGAGAGAGAGACGAGTCCGTAGTGACGGGGCGGAAGGTCGGGTACGAGAATCAAAACTGAAATCCTATTCGGACCAGAGAACGAACGACTCGCTCCAAATATGTATATACGCGCGGGGGATCGCAGGCGTCGCGTTGCGCCGGAGGACAAACACGCGCCGCCCGCGACACTCCGAGCGTTCGTGTAAAGAGGTATACACAAATGTTCTTCTCTCAGTTGCATCCTACGATTTCTCGATACGTTACTCATAAATGTGCTTGATTGATACACGTAGTTGGGAGAAAAAAAAAAACAGAAAGAGAAGCATCCGAAGAAAAAAGTACCACAGACGAGATAATTTATAATATTAATAATAAAAGATTCTTTTCATACGAGGCACCGCTTGTATTTCACCTGTACAACGTTCCGCCGCGGCGCGTCCCGAAGAACAGCCTAAAGATGCCTAAAGAGGCATGTCTTTCAGACACGTGTTGTGTTCTCACGACGTCACGGTGCCGTGGTCGGTGTGTGTGTGCGCGCGTGGGTCTCCCTCACACAGTCACCAGCGGATCTCGGTCAGCCTCGGATACGCACACATCGACGCACTGCAAACTACGGCGCAATATCGGCGCGAACACCTTCAGGAAACCACGCTCGGAGTCTGAGTGATTCGTCAATATGACGTGGGCGCCGTGATGCACGGCGTCCAACACGTCGTGGTGCAACATTTCCCCGGTGAGATACAAATCGGCGGATATCCCCTTCAATACCGAGCCGCCGGAGCCGGCGCAGAGCGCTACGGTCTTCACGTAGCCGTCTGAAATGTAAAAACGCATCGTGCAAAGTAGAGGAATTGTGGTGTCAGGTCGACGCGAAAGATTGATTTTTTTCCTGTTTCGCGGAAAATTGCCGATCTTGGCGTTACAAGTGAAATAAGTAGGAAGACCTCGATGGATATTCGAAGATAAATGCCAAATCGAATGCCAAATCGGTTGGTCATAGTTGAGAGGAAAGCATAGTTTTCGGGGGATGTAATTTTAAAATATAACTTTCGGGGACAACAATATCCTTTCTTCCTCATACTACTAATTTATATAATTAAAATGTAGCTTGGCTCGAGCTACTGCTAAATAATATTATTTATTGTCATCTGTTTCAACTCATAATAGAAAAAGATTTCAAAAGGATGCAACTTATGATGCGAAATTTGTTGACCAGTGCAATCAGTCAAAAAGTTCGAATTTCCAACGTCAGAAAGTCCAACCACTCTCGCCTTCTCTTCCTTTTTCAATGAAAAACCGTTTGTTCATCGAGCATATGACCGTTGTCCGTAACTCCTCGTTAACATTCCAGCAGCGAGTCATTATTGCCAGCATTGTCGCTTGCATTGCACACCGTCCATTGAAAACCGAAACCGAACTTTTTGACCCGGTGTGTTAATATTCTCTCTCTCGAAACCGGAGAACCCCGTTGGCAATTTTATCCGACGTATACGGAGAGCGGATCTTTCGCGCATAATTCATCGATTTATCGCCCGATTAGTTCCAACGCGCGAGATTCGCGCTGCCTGATTTCTTTCACAGCCACGAAGTCGCCTCGCACTTTCACCGAAACTCACCGGCACCGCGCGCGCGCGCCAATCTCACGTGTTCCAGACCCGTGCGCTGCTTCACCCGGTTCACCGCCTCGTCGATGGGTATCCGGTTCTTCAAGGTGCACAGCCTCCCGATGCCGTAAGTCGCGTTACTCGCGTTCGGTTCGATCGGATCGCTGCCCTCGAGCTCTGAAAACGCAGAATCCTTACACGTGCTGCCATCCAGTCGTCGGAATAAAAAAATAGAGTGAAACAGTGACTGCTTCTTGGCAGAAAAAGTGACGAAAAGGTGACCTCTCAGACCAAAACGGTAGCCAAAAGTGGCATTTTTTTGTCAGATTCTGAGAATAACTGAGGTCATATAAGCAAAAGAATTATACTGATTTTTACCTTTCATGTTTATATTTGAATAACTTAACATATAGCGAGCTCTTTTTTATAGTACGGCTTGAAAGTTCATAACAAGGAAAGACTAAGAGCATAAATAATACAAATATGGTTTCTCGAGGCAGTTTTATTAAGATAGACGGCAAAAATATGTACAGGTTTGTCCCAAAGTTCACGAAAAATATTTTAATAATGAAATTTCTCGTAATATTCTACGGAAGACGAAAGTTCTAATACGGAAATATCGAGGGAATTTATCATTTTTGGCGCTTTTCGAACTTTTTCAAACTTTAACACAATATATCTTTGTAGTCAAGTCTCAAATTAAAATTCTGTCAGATTAAAGGCCGTTTGAAATTAATCGGGGAAAATAATTTTATTGTCCATTTGGTCGCCCGAAACTTGGTTCGCGATAAGCTCCACTTTTTCAATCGCTTGTAAAGTAGTACTTTTTTCTCTGCTGCTATTTTTCTCTCGAAAACTACTGATGCCTCGACACTTTCATATCTGAACTTTCATCTTGGAATGTTACGAAGAATTGACTATTAAAATATTTATGAACTTTGGAACATTCTGTGTAGAACGCCTATATTTCACAAATTTAACGGCAGCTCAAGAAAAAAAAGGATTACAGTGACCTATTTTAGACAATAGTGAATTTTTAAGTGACTTGTGAAGAGAATGTGACTTGAGTGACAACTGGATGGTAGCGTTGCAGACGTTAATGCGACTCATCGCGGCGGATTCTTACCGAAGGCTTCCGCCAGCCAGTCGTTCACGCCACCTCGTACCGAGTCGAAGCTGGTGTGCGGCGAGTACACGGCGATTTTGTTCTCCAGACATCTCGCCACTACTCGTTCCTGCGACGTAAATGAAAATCAGATCGCTCGATGAATTAAGCGACGAAGTCGCGAACGAGGAATCCCACGATTCAGAAGTAATGCGTTACTTGCCACGTCGATACCGCTCGCTACTAGTTACTTTTCTTTAGTAAAGACTTAACAATTGCCTGATACTTTTTCTCGTTGATAACATAATGTTGCTGCAATGGTAACACAATTATATCTTCTTTATTGGATAACGGTAATGAATATAATCGTTACTTTGCATTATTTGATTGGGTAGCCGAAAAACAATTAATTGAAAACTTTATTTATGTATTATAAAAAAGTGTTTAAAATTTAGTAAAAAAAGTAACACCTTCTTTTTCTTCAGAATGTGAATTCAGCCACTCTTAAAAACATATGTCCTCAACATCATTTTACGGAATTTTACATATTATGATGTTTTAATAACTTGATCATATGATTAATTAAGTAATACAGATTAGATCCGATTTGGTTATTGCCGAGGCAAATTCGTTTTCAAGAAAATACACTGCAATTCACTAACGAACAATTATGAGATGACGTGTGCACGCAGTGACAGCTGAACAACGACTGGAAAAAATAATAGAGGTTCCACAAACTCGATACGTTATAATAACCATAATTTGATACAACAATAACTCGATATCCTTCTATAAACCCCATTACAATTGTGATGATCAGATATTGTTTTTTTTTATATGCACAGAGAAAAAAGCTTTTTTTATTTAATATATATATTTAATTTGGATTTGTTTTATTAAAACAAGTCAATTTAATATCAAATATCATTTTGTTTGAATGAAAATATTGTTGTTTTACTCCAGTAAAGCACACTGTTTGATATAATGAACAATATTATTTGAAGCAAATATATTTGGTTGGCTTAATTTTAGTATACTACCTGCTTACCTCCGATTTTGATGAAATTTTACAGGTATGTTGTATTTATTAAATGTAGTCGAAGCTACTAATACGGAGTTACGGAATGCCTAGTTTCCGAGAAATTCAAATTTTAATTTAAATTATTTAAATTATTCGTCTTATTTAACATTTTTCAAAATTCAGTGTGAAAAAATAATTAAAATTCGAACAAAAATAATTATTTTCGAATATATTTTTGCTGAAATCTCTCAAAATTATTAATATATTAGAAAACTGAGTTAATATACCGAAACCTGGAAACTAGGCAACTTCATACTTGTGGCTTCGACTACGTTTATTTAGTCGACTACGCACCTGTAAAATTCAAAATCGGAGATGGGTAACTTACCGAAGTTTCACCTTTTAAGGTAATTTTGAAAGGAAAATAGTACTTATATATATGTACTAATATTTAATATACTAATAATTAATATACTAACATTTAATATATTAATAATTCAATATACAAATAATTAAATATACCAATACTTATATATATATATAGTTTCCAAATAAAAATATTTTCGGTCGTAAAGAGAGAACATAGTAACAATAACTTGATACGGCAACGTGACGAGTAAAACGTGTGAAAAATAACCCTCTCAGCACGGTACCTTCCAATACTGCGTGGTGATGGATTTCAACGGGGTGAAAATCAGCGGATGATACGTGACGATCAGGTCGGTGTTCAGTTGAACAGCCTCGTCCATCACGTCTTCGGTCAGATCGTTCGTCAATAAAACGCGCGACACGACCTTCGGCTGCGTCGGCTCGACCAGTAACCCGACATTATCCCAGGATGCGGCGAGCGATGTATTCGCGAACTTGCGTATGGCGTTCACGACCTCCTCCAGGGGCAGGCTGTCTTTATCGCCAGCTGTCTTGCTCATCGCGCGTGTCGCTTTGAGGTTTCTAACGTAGGAGTTGCTGCAGGATAAGCCCACGCCGTATAAGCGTCTCAACATTTACTCCTAAAACAGAGACGTGGCCACAGATAGCAATATGATCCACAATGTACATCGATTGATTTTTAGCAGTTTAAGACGACCGAAGAACACAAAGCGATATTTCGCACTTGAAATCGGTCCCTGTTAAAACTTTTCCGTTGAACTCTTAACACACCCGTGCGTTAATTTAACATATTTATGTTATCTCAACATTTCGTGTCGCGTCGATATCCAATAATAAGATGTAAATGTTAAAATAATACATTTTATATTTCACTGCCGATTAATTTCGAATTAATTTTCGACAGAATATTTGTGTTACCTTTTCACCTTGTGATAAATTAACACGAAAGTTTGTGTGCACCGTTTGGGACACGTGAGATATGTCAAATTTAACGCCAAATTATTTACCGTGTTGAGAAAATCGAGCTCAAAGCGCGGAATTACCGCGAAATCGGGAAAAATGAAACGGCGCCGCGAGACCTCGCGCGCTTTCTTCCCAGCAAAATTCAATTCCGCCGAAATCGTATCGTTGACGTCCGCTCGGACGTGAAAAGCGTCTTATCGGAAACATAATAGACGTGGCCGGAGGGAAGGATCGAGATGAAAACGGAAGAAATGCGGGGAGGAAAACATGAGGCGCATTCGTGTTTCGCAGAGGCGAGATTGCGTGTATGTACACTTTATTCGTTGTAAAGCCAAATCTTCACTAGACCGTCGTCGCCGGCCGACGCGAGTTGCCCGGGCACGGCCGGGTTCCACTGGACGCAGTTGACGTCCTGCGCGTGCGCGCTGTCCATCGAGCAGACCATCGTGAAGTTCGGCTGGTGCGGGTCGCAGTCGTCGTCCTCCTTGAACACCCGTATTACATCGTCGCCGCAGGCGGTCACCAGCAGGCCTGTCGTCTTGCACCAGTCGATGTCGTAGATGGTCCGCGTGTGATAGCCGGAGAGTGTGCACACGCACTTCCAGACCGGCTCGTTGTTCGGTGTGGTGATGCCGGTCTCGTTCCCCGGCTTGTACTCCCGCCAGATCTTCACCGTCTTGTCGTCGCTGCACGTGGCGATGCGCCCGCCGCTCTTGTCCCACGAGAGGCTCCACACCGTCGACGTGTGCGACGACAAGGTCGCCACGCACGTCCAGTCGTTGTCGGCCGCGTCCTCCTTGAATATCCGCGCCGTGTTGTCGTAACTGGCGGAGGCCAAGACTTCCTCGTGCGGGTGCCACCTCACCTAAAATCGTGAAAGCGAATCCTACTTAATCGTTTTCTTCTTCCGTAGACCGACTCGATCGGGTCAACTCTTAGCTTCCCTCGGTGAAATTTTTCACAATCAACGTGTATACGGGGTGAGGCAATAACCATTGAGCTTAGCAAGCGGGAAACATTCAATCAATCTTTATATTATATATTGATTTTACGTGGATTTTATCAACATTCTGACATGGTATTTCATAAATGTTTTGAAACTGTTATCTGATAATATGATATCCCTCAATATTGAAATCGTAGAAATATTATTTTTCATGCTTGGGTCAAATATTGTTCACAATGACGTTGTATACAATATTAAGGCCTTTTCGTTCTCTGGTTAACTCGTGGTTAGACTTTAGACTTAAGCTGATAGTAATGTTGTGTTTTTCTTTTCATCATTATCATCGGGTTAAGCTTAAACCGTAAGTTTAACTAGAAAATGAAGAACCAAGCTTAAGAGCTACATACTTGAAAACGTTACACGTTATAAAATATCATTACAATAACGTTGTGTTAATGATTCGTTGCTTACTGGGGATATCTTCGAAGGGTGAAAGTAAGAGAATAATTTGTCTGGCAGAAATGTCGCCACTGGTCATCTTGAATACCTTCTGTAAATACAAACTTGCTTCATCTTCTCGTCTAGTTATTAAAAAAAGATTTTTTCTTTTTTTCAAAGATATTCAAGGTTAACGACGGTTATCATCTCACCCTGTATATTTGAACAACCTAAAGATGCCTTAAAGAGATAGATGCCTACTGATACATCGACACTTATTAAGCAAACAAACTTACCTTCTTCACGTCTTGAAGATGAGCATTGATAACAGCGGCGCACTCGTATTCGTCGTCATTTACCTCCCACACCCATACGGACTTGTCCCGGCTGCACGTAGCGAGCAGTTGGCCGCTGACCGACCAACTGACGCTTTTCACCTCGTTCTCGTGACCCTCTAACGTCGCGTTGCACTCGAACTGCCCGGACTTTTTGTCCCACACTGCGGTGGTCGCGTCGAAACTCGCGGATGCGATGTAATTACCACAGTGGGACCAGGTGAGCTCGCGTATGGTCCTGGAGTGCCCCTCCGTGAGGATCATTTTTGTAACCCAATTGGGCCCCTCCGGGCCCCATATTATGATAGTTTTGTCCTCGCCGCAAGACGCTAGATTAGTGCCCTTTGGATGCCAGCAAACGCTCCATACTCTACCCCTGTGCCTGCTCAGACCTTGCTTTAGTTCCAACACACCCATTGCCACCTGCAACAGTGCAACAATCTTTAATTCATCCCCTCGGCAAAGCCCAAAGTATCAAATCTACCTACTCTGAATATATCGATATTGACATACGATAATACAATATTTATGATTCATAAATAATGTATTACCGTAAATTAAAGTTTTTTTATAAATAGGTAACCATACAGGAAATTACTGTACATCTTGGCTTATTAATTAGATTGCTAATTGATATATAGATTTCTAAATTTCAAAAAATCAAGAGCTGATCTTATATTTTGGTGTTAAAATTTAAAAATGTACAGATTCCCCCAAGCCCTTAGATGTACAATCTAAACAAAGGGAGAAGTGGGCCAATAAGAACTAAAGCATGGATTTTATAGTGCCGTAAAAACTAACAGTGTCGAACGTAGGGGATAATGTTCTCAGAACTGTTTAATAGATATCAATAGTCATAATTTTCAAAATTATGTTAAGGAATTTAAAAACAGTGGTGTTGATAGGTATCGATTTCTGACAGCTTCAATTATTACAGACTGTATAAAGGCAGCTGACAAATAATTATCTCGTCTGCTGGCATCTCTAAAATAGCGTCTTGTGTTTTCCAGGAACTCAAGAAGTGGGTTCTTAAATGTCGCGTGTTAAACACCAGGTGGAAAAAACGCTTTGTCAGAGTTAGAAATTAAGTAATCTGCGACCTTTTATCGCGCAGAACTTTTTGTTTTGATCTCTTTTATTTTATATCTCATCACTTTTGTGTACAGTGTGTGAAATCAGTTTGCACGATAAGTGTGTGATGACAATGATTGTAAATTGTAGAGCTAGATCTCGTCGCGAAGACGATAATGATCAATTAACAACAAGAGATCGGAAAGTAGCGTTTCATTATTGGAGCTTCTATGTTTCCAATGTGTAGAAAATTTTGCAAACTCACCTCCGATGTTTCACGTTTCCAATAATGTCGGGAAATCAGCTTTCGGCAACCGAACGAAAGCTAAAATATAAACTCCCACTAATTATAATATGTAAATTTCAGACGATAATCTTCTTGATAACACAAGACGTAACATCAAGAATATTTATGAAACTGATAACAGCTCGTAGCGACGAAAGCTAAGTTTATAGGCCACCTCGTTTTGCTTGTACTTTCTGCACTTCTGCGCGCAAGGTGCAAACTCATTAAGGGCTTCTGCACATAGAAATCGTAAGTCCCGGTTTACAATAAGTATTTTAAGCCTTAAGAAATTGGCCAATCATAGTTAATTATTCTCTTTTCATTTGACTGTGATTGGTGAATTTCTTAAGGCTTAAAACTTAAAGCACCAATTGTAGACCAGGACTTATGAAGAAAGAAAGTGTATTTCCAATAAACTATTTGTATGATATATATACACAAATAAAGGAAAAATGTGGGAACATTTGAAGTTTCGCTTTAATTACCTGCAGAAATACAGTTAGATTTATAAGTATAGGCATATGTGTAAGAGCGTGTATGGTGTGTTGATACGTTGGGAATGTGTCCCCACTCCATGTCACGTGACCCGTTTAATTCGCCCAGTCCGGGTACAGCCGCAGATGGCGTGTGTCACCCGTTTTTCAAGAGGGGAGGGAGTAGGACTCTCTGACCGTTGGAGCCATTTAAATCTGTTTACTTCGGTTTGGTGGTGATCGGCGGCAGGTGTTCCGTCTCTTCTTTTTCTGCGAGTATAATTGTGGCTCGAATTCGCAATTAACATAGCTGGGAATATTGTTGATACATTACGTTGGTACAGACGAAAATGAAGAGAGGAAAACCAAGAAATGAGAGAGCTAAATCAACGAATAGAGAGAGGTAAACGTAAAACGAACTCATAGCCGGAAATTTTCCTTTGTTCTGCCACAGGCAATAGGCAGAATAATTTCGTTGATGTATTAATAATTGGAATACATGATATAATATTGAGTTATTTGTTAAATATTCAGGAAAAGTTTGCACCTCATCATATGTTGTAACAAACTAAGATTAACAATTTTAATATTAGACCATAAGGAGCTGATGCATGAATTTAACAGTGCAATGAAAGAAATAATGTGGTAATTAATCAGTGAACTACTCAAGTTTCATTTAATATTCTAAATTCTTAAGTCTTACATCAAATCTTCAATAGACTTCCATGTGCAATATAAGGGATAAGGTTAGACATGATGATGTCTGATCTTATTTTACTTTTATCCTCTGATTTCTAACGCTTGTCTGTACTCATTATCCCTTAAGCTGTACATGAATGTCTACTGAACCAAGTTTATCGTAAGACCAAAACATTTAGAATATTAAATGAAACGTGAATAATTTATTGATTAATTACTAAGTGGTTTCTTTTATTGCAGTATTAAATCTATTGGCTCCACATGACTGAATATTTTGAGCTTTTTTGGGAATTTCCTATTGTTAGTTTCAGAAGCAAAAGTATCCTGTAAAAGAAATATGAGAAGAAAACATAAAAAAATTTGAATTTTATTTTGTTTCATTTCATTGTATCTCATCATTTCATCATATATTAATATTAATAGCATTGATGTGTAACCTTTTTTTGAATATTTTTCTATTCTAAATATTTTTCTTTCTGAATATTTATCAATGGTTTAATTTTTTGTCAGCACAAATAAAGCTACCCAGACAATAAATATTGACACGGTCGTTGAGATCGCTAGGCTGCAGGAGCAATTGCGACTGCTGCAACTTGAAAACGATGTTCTCCGCCAACACATGTCAACGTCAAACAAACGTGATCATGCTAGCATATACATGCCACTCAGTGTTGAAACACAGGAGATACCACAAGCTAATGCTAAAGCAGTCACTTGTGGATGTAAGGGTAATTGCTCTACAAAGAGATGTGGTTGTGTCAAAGAAAATAATAAATGCACTGCATCATGTAAATGCAGCGCTGCAACATGTCAAAATCAGGTAATATTTGTTGTTTTCCATATTCTCATCATTTGGAGCAGTTTCAAGAGATTGTTTTATATTTTGCAGGAACTGAAAGATCAGAATGAAGAGCTAGATCAGGAAAACAAAGAAAATATCACTACGAATGGCATGGAGACTCCGAAAAAACGAGAGAAAGTGATACAAAGTGAAGTCGTAGTGAAAATGAAAACGAAGGGCAAGGATTTAGCAAGTGATAAGATCACAAATGATGTGAATGTAAAAATTAATAGTTTCCAAAAAGAATAATACACATAATTCTTCTTTTGTCTAGCATTTATTAACGTGCCGTTATTAACAATAACTTCTCTTTCTACACGTATATTAGGAACAATTTGATCCGATGAAACCGAAACATCAGTTATCACGAACACCACCAACGAAAAACAGAACATTTGTAAGTGAAGTGAGTTACTCCGATGACAAACTAAAGTCTGAATCACCGGAGTCATCTCAAATATTGGTTTCATCCTTCAACGTTAAAGGTATGTTCATTCTTTTCGATATTAAAAAAAACATTACTGTTTACCAGGTATTATTATTATTATCATCATTATCATCATTATCATCATCAATATTTTATATTTAGCAAATACCTCAGATATTGAGGCAGAAGTCGATTGGGAGCAACACAGGGCGCAACTGGTCCCTTGCAAAAAATGCAAAAGAACCTTCATGCCACATAGAATCCAGAAACACGAAGCCTGTTGTAAGAAGATCTAAGCACACAATATGCACGGATTTATTCGGTACGATCTCATCACGAACTTTTCCCGAAACAATCGATTAATAAGATATCATTAAATTAAGAAGATACTTTTCTTTACTTTAACTCAATCATACCTTTTTTTAGAGCAATTATCGTTACGTCTGCAAATAGTTTCTCTAATGTCCATTTTTTATATCTCCTGCGACACATTATATCTCTTTCTCGACGCGGATTGACATATACGTGTTAGCATAATGTGTGAAATCGTACGAAACTTTGTTAAATCTTAATCATTTTATATAGTTACTCATCTGATGTACATAAAATGGTGTTCGTAAAGTATAAGAGTTTTATTAAAATGACGAATAATATTACATGCTTCTGTGAGTATTATTGGCACATCATTTGAGAAATGAAAAATTGTGCCAAATCACAATATAGGACGCATAATGTGTTACAAACAGAAAACTATGCTAAACTTTCCCGAGGATGTATCATGCTTAAAGTTGAAATGAGAAAGCAGAAATGAAGAGTGATATTGAAATATTGATATCGTGATATTAAGATATAGCATCCATATATTTTTAAATAATGGATTATACATTTTTCTGTAATTGTGTATTGATATATTTTTTTATGTAAATAGGACTAAGTTTAATATACTCTAATAAAATGATACTTATCTATGATTATGACAATGATCTCTTTTTTTTTTCCTCTCATCGCGATCATTTCGCCGACGGATGAACAGTCCGCTGTCGTTTGAATTTGGCTCTCTCAAGTCCGAATTCGCGTTTCCCCGCGAGAGGGAGACTGTTGTCGAAATCTGACCGGAGGTTCTTCCGTCATCTCTTTACTTTTGGTCGTCGGCGCATTGAGGCGTTAGCGAATTTACTTGTAATCATCGCCGAATAATTCTCGTTGGCGAGTGATCTTGCACGAAAGAAAAGCCACGAAATGGTGAGTTCCGGTCTACGATGGTATGAGATAATTGCGTCGGATAATTGATCATTGATAATTAATCATTCGCTCGTTCGGCTGTTTCGACATGAACGCTCCGGCTCGATTCCGGCTCGACAGAGAGGATTCGAGAACGACGCTTTACACGTTATTTTACTTCGTCCGCTTTCTGCTTTCGCTTTATGTTACGTTTTCGCGGAAAAGCGTGCTCGGCGAGAACCAATTCGATCGCGTTTCGGCGAGTCGATTTGTCGGCTTATTCATCTGATGTCCTAACCTTATAAGGAGACTCATTTCGCCGCTACCTAACTCACATGCACACATGCAAACTCAAATACGTGTCAGAAATATCGTCGATTTTAAATCGTCTTCTTCGGGAATTTCGTTAGAATTATTCTCAGGATTTTTTCAAGATTGTAATCTTACTTCGACTCGTTCGGATACTTGCGTTTGCGTAAAAAAAAATAGCGCACGTTGCAAACTTAAAGATACAGAAGGATGTTGTTTTCTCCGGGATTTTCACGCACTTGTGACGTGAAATTTAACATGTTCCTCATTGTAGTTTCTTTACTGTCCGTTCCGTACAGCAACCTCAAATAATTCTTCTGAAAGAAGGCACGGACGCTTCCCAGGGGAAGCAACAGCTGATATCCAACATAAACGCATGTCAGGTTGTTGTGGACGCTGTTAAGACCACCTTGGGTCCTCGCGGCATGGACAAGCTGATAGTCGACCAAAATGGCAAAAGCACTATTTCGAATGACGGCGCCACCATCTTGAAACTGCTGGATATCATTCATCCGGCAGCAAAGATCTTGGTGGACATCGCTAAGTCACAAGATGTGGAGGTAAAAGCTACATTCTTTTGCCCACCATTATTTTCTAAACGATTGTATTATTTTCTATAACTGATATAACAAAAATACGTGATAATAATTACCACATACAATGATACTCATTAAAATGACGAATAATATTACACGCTTCTGCGAGTATTATTAGCACATTCGAGTCATAGCACATCATTCGAGAAATGAAAAATTGTGCCAAATCACAATATAGGACGCATATTCATATTGGCTTCGGCGTTATCCGAATATCTTACGATATAAATTACATATATTAGATGCATTAAATCAAATTACGTTAAAAGCATTAAAGGAATACGAGCGAAAAGATTTACGTACATGAATTAAAAGCGACACGATGAGAGAAGTCAGGAAGCGGAGGGGCTTCTAGAAAGAAGTATCCTTTTGGTATCACGCAGAAGGATCTGGTATCTGACTGTTCAACAGGTGGGAGATGGCACGACCAGCGTCGTCCTGCTGGCGGGGGAGTTTCTGAAGCAGATGAAGCCGTTCATAGAGGAGGGGGTGCACCCGCGAATAATCATCAAGGCGCTGCGCCGCGCGCTACGGTTAGCCGTGGACAAGATAAACGAGCTGAGCGTGAAGATCGACAAGAGCGATCTCAGCAAGCACATCAATCTCCTGGAGGAGTGCGCGGCCACGTCGATGAGCTCGAAGCTGATACACCAGCAGAAGAAACACTTCAGCAGCCTGGTCGTCAAAGCCGTCCTGATGTTGGACGACTTGCTGCCGCTCAACATGATCGGCATTAAGAAGGTAACAATTATAACTTCCCCAAGGCAATCCTGAACTTCCCGAGGCAACTTCGAGGCAATTCTAAGCTTTTTAAGACGATCCTAAGCTTCCTGATGCAACTCTACATTTTTCTTGATTGCAAACATCCGCAAAGCAAATCTCAGTCGTCGAAGCTCCGAGTTGAATCTCGAGAAGCTTTTCGAATTGCTTCGAGGAACTCGGAATTGCCCCGGGAAGCTAATCATTACTTGAAGAAGTGTTTCTAACTTGGCGCAAACCACGCGCCCCCTCCAGGTCTCCGGCGGCGCGTTGGAGGACTCCGAACTGATCCAAGGGGTCGCCTTCAAGAAGACCTTCTCCTACGCCGGCTTCGAGATGCAGCCGAAGAAGTACCTGTCGTGCAAGATCGCGCTGCTGAACATCGAGCTGGAGCTGAAGGCCGAGCGGGACAACGCGGAGGTGCGCGTCGACAACGTCGCGGAGTACCAGCGGATCGTCGACGCCGAGTGGCAGATACTCTACAACAAGCTCGATCAGATTCACAAGAGCGGTGCGAAGGTCGTGCTGTCGAAGCTGCCGATCGGCGACGTCGCGACGCAGTACTTCGCCGACCGGGACATGTTCTGCGCCGGCAGGGTGCCCGAGGAGGACCTGAAGAGGACGATGAAGGCGTGCGGCGGCGCGATCCTCTCGACGGTGCACGACATCAAGGAGTCCGACCTCGGCCAGTGCGAGACCTTCGAGGAGAAGCAGATCGGCGGCGAGAGGTGATTATAAGCGGTTCGCTCTCGACAGCAACGATCGATCTCGAGGAATCACCTCGTGAACTTGTACGTTTCCCCGGGAGATCGGATCGATCGTCGATGACGAATATATTCGGCTGGTTAACCGGTCGGTCTCCCCCCCAGGTTCAACATATTCTGCGAGTGCTCGCGAGCGAAGACGTGCACGTTTATCTTACGCGGCGGCGCCGAGCAGTTCCTCGAGGAAACCGAGAGGTCGCTCCACGACGCGATCATGGTCGTCAGGCGCATGGTGAAGAACGACGCGGTGGTCGGCGGCGGCGGCGCGATCGAGATGGAGCTCTCCAAGACGCTGCGCGATTATTCCCGCACCATCGCGGGCAAGGAGCAGCTCCTCATTGGCGCGATCGCGCGGGCTCTCGAAATTATCCCGAGGTACGTTCAGAGAATCCGCCGGCCTTTTCTCCGAACGTGAAGAAAGTGAAAAGTCGAGTCGTTTTGAGCAAGCAATTCCAACGGGCAACCCGAAGCGATCCCAACCTCTTTGACGCAATTCTAAGCTTCCCGATGCAATCCTACGTTTTTTTCCTAAAGCGATCACAAAATTCCCGAAGCAATTCTAAGCGACTTGAAGCGCACTATTTTTTAACCCCGAGATATCGGAAAGTTTCCACGTATTTATATCAGAGGGAGACTCGAATTGTGTTAATTAATAATAATTTGACCGACGAGAAACGTTACCGTTTTCGCAGACAACTGTGCGACAACGCCGGCTTCGACGCGACGAATATCCTGAACAAGTTGCGCCAGAAGCACCACATGAGCATGCACTGGTTCGGCGTCGACATCAACTTGGAGGACATCGCTGACAACATGCAGGCCTGCGTCTGGGAGCCCGCCGTGGTGAAGATCAACGCGTTGACCGCCGCGACCGAGGCCGCGTGTCTCATATTGTCCGTCGACGAGACCATCAAGAACCCGAAGAGCAGCCAAGACGGGCCGCAGGCGCCGATGGGACGCGGCATGGGCAGACCCATGTAATGCCGAGCGGAATTGAGAGCAGGGTCGAGCGAACCAGGGTGAGGAACGAAATTTCGTATTCGTTAACGTACAGTAATTTCTCACCCGAACGAGAATTATTATTATTATTGTTATTTTTTGCATACAGGGGACAAAGCATCCCTCTTGTACATTATATAAATAAAACAAAAGAAAAGCATACCTGTACTTACGTAACTCAGTAACAAACTGTAAACGCAAGAAATTTTATCAAGTCATAAGTTGATACCGACGAGTGATTGAAAATTCGAGTGATGACGGAACCAGCCGTGAAAAAAAAAAAACAAGAACGATCGTTCGCGCCGATTAGAAATGCGAGTAGACCTTCGCTCGAATGCATCTCACGGATTCTCAGCTCTCCCGTCTTTCCGTGAGTATTGTCGATGAAAATGTTGCCTCGCCGTCCAATTGAAGCAACGACCGGCCGATGCGAATCGAGTCGTGCGGGAATGTCGAATAATGCGAGTAACGATCGGCGCGAGCGGACGAGTGAAGTTTTGCTCGATACGACGTTCCCGTGTGAGAAATTACTCGGACGATGCGCAAACCTCCGGCTCGCCGACCCTGCTCATCCGACGAAGCGGATTAACCGCGATATCGCATTTATGCGACACGCGACGGGAACGATGGGGAACGTGACATATGAGCGTACGAATATTTGCGACGTTTTATTTCATCCAGTTGTCAATCTCGAATGTATTAAAAATGAAAGAGCTTGTATTGTCGGGGACAAACCATTGTTTTCATGGGAAAAGTTCCGAAAATGTTCGCAACAATAATTCTATAGGCTTTGTGAAAAGATATAAAAAAGAAATCTCATTAATTGTGCACACAATTCTGCACACACACACACACACAAATATAAACGATATACACCCCACTGTCACGCAATAAAAAATACAACCGATGGAATAGCGAGGAAAGGGCTTCTTGCACGGAAATAAAAGGAAATTTTCAGACTTAGACGAGAACATAAAATGACACGTTTAAACGTATAAATGTCAAGTATACAAGGCTGTGGAGGCTGAAAATTGCGCGATAACAAATTATATATATATATTCTTACAACTGGCGCTTAATACTGTAGTTCGTCTACCTACGGCAGGTCTCTCTCAACGGCGTTTCTTCTTCGTCTCGGTAACTGAAATATACAACGATGAGGAGTCAGAAAACCGCAGGTTCAGGGTCGACGCCACAAATCATCGGATTGGCACGAAAGGTTCGTCTAACGAGAAATTCAAGGTCGCTGCGAAGTGTTGGCAGTTTTTGCGAATAAAAACAAACATCGACGAGCATTTCTTTTTTTTTCCCCAGACATTCGACGAAGCCTTCCTATTTCCTTCTTAGCACCCAAATCGACCATCTTCCCGCGAGTCTGAATTCAACAGAAAAAAAAAAAACCGACAGATCTTCGGTGCCAATCCGATGGGATTTGAAAAATCGTGGATGAAACTTCGCTTCGATGTTAAATCCCCGAAAGTGCTGCCTCACCTTTTCTCTCTTGCAGAATCTCCTTTCTCCTGTTCTGCAATTCGGTTGGCAGATTCTCGATCATACTCTCGATAAAATTATCCAAAACCAACGACCGGTTCATCGACATCACCGGTTTCCTGCAGACCGGACATTCTCTCCGCTTCCTGCACCACATGTTTATGCAATGGTGGCAGAACGTGTGCGTGCAGTTCAACGTGGTCGCCTTCACGAACAATTCCGAGCATATAATGCACGTCAGCTGTTCGTCCATAATGCCGCTCACTTTCTCGAAAACGCCTTCCTTGGTGTTCGTCTCTATGTTCTGACCGAACCCGGTCAGATCGATCGTGTCCAATACATGAAATTCCGAACCTTGATTCACATCTACGAGTTCCACGTATATACAGTTGTTCGACGGACTGACAGTAGACTCGGCTGCTGCGTTGGCTGGAAAGAAAAATTCGGGGGAGGAATCAGCAGCGCGTAAAAGCATATATTTCTCTTAAAACGAGTCGATTACTCTTGCGACGGATTTATCGTGTTTATTTACACACGCAACGATTGCGGCGAATAATTGATTATCCTGGGTTCGCCGGAAAAATGTGGGAACATTGGAAGATCCTCGAAAAACGAAGCAATTTACCGTGCAAAATCGCTTGCGAGGTTTTCGCCTTCGCCTCTTGTTCCTTCAAGGCTTTCTGCGTCTCCTTGAGTTTCTCCTCCAGCCTGTTCTTCTCGTTCAACAATTGAGCCTGAATAGTCTTCTCCGCGTTCACCTTGCTCTCCATCATGCTCCTCCATTCCGCCTGTTGCTGCTCCCTCCAGCTCTCCATCTGCTCCTTCATGTTCACCTCCACCATCTCCTTCTCCTGCTTGCTCATCTCCAGCGCCTCCTGCCACTTCTGCTTCTCCTCGTTTATCCTCAGCTCGAACTGCAGCCTCTCATTCTCCAGTTTCCACAGCAACTCGGTATACATGCTCTGCAGGTTTTGCTCTTGCGCATTGCCCGCCTCTATCTTGCCCTCCAACACCGTGATCTGCCTCATCAGGTTCTCCTTGTCGTCCATGGCGGCGACTTGTTGCATCATCAGCTCCTCCAGCTGCTGCCTCAACATTGCTTGCTCCTTGTGCTTGATCTCGAGCCTGTCCTTGAGTTCCTTCCTTTGACACTCCTGGCTCTCGGCGAAGGTCCTCTGTTTGGTGAGCATAGTGTCGAGGACCTTTTCATCCAAACGTGGCTTCTTGACACAGTGTCCTCTCCCAGCAAAACTAAACACGTATTTGTACATCTCGTTGCAACCGAACTGTACGATATCACCAGGATTGACTCTCTGGGCACCTCCCGGCTGAACGGCCACACCGTTGACGAACGTCGACGACGAACTGAAGTCCTTCACGGTCCAATCACCTTGACCCTCGCACCTGAACACGCAGTGCCGCCTGGATATCGTGACATCCAAGATGATCTCGTCGTTGTCCTTCGCCCGGCCGATCCTGAACTGTCGGAAGATACGAGGTCGCGTCTTAGATATTTACACGCATGTTTAAGTCGATGATCGAGCTACTTGGTGACACGGCTCTCACCTCGTTCTTGTCGATGTATATGAGCTCCTGCTGGTCGACCCTCGTGAGAAGCGGCTCGAGGATGCCCGGCTCCGCCTCGTTGGCCGTTGACCTCTTCGCACGTTCCATCGTGCTCACTCAGCAATCCCGCGGACGAGCGTGTCAACTGTGACACATCGGACACGACGAGCAAGTGGTTCGCGCGGTCTGCGCCTCCTCTTCGTAGCACGCGCGCAAAACGTAGAATCGAACGTTGAGGATTCGCGGACAATTTATCTCGTTCTTGCACAAGACACGGGGGAGAGAGAAAGAGAGACGGGGAGGGAGCGAGAAATCGACTCGTTGTCATCAAAATTCACGCGCAGAAAAACAAACACTATTTGAACTGGTAACGAGTAACAAATGAACGTCACAGGTCGAGCATTAACTGTAAACTCGAAAGCATGAGGCAACCTTGACCTGTCCCCGAAGTCACACGGAAGATGTCGCCACCGTCGCGACTTCACCGAGCAACGTTGTGTAATTTTTTCTCCAAGCGGAATTTTTTTATCATTCATTTCCTATTCTTTCGGAAGGAAAGCGATCGCGTTCTGGCTTGGAAACGTTTCGTAGCTCTTGCTTTGTCCATCTAAGCGCCCGGGAGCAGATTACGTGATTGTTAATTCAAATGACGTCGAGATTTTCTTAGATTTTTGGAACACAGCGATACCGTAAATCCCTCTATGAAAGGTGGGTACATCAAGTGTTTCCGTGGTGTAGTGGTTATCACATCCGCCTAACACGCGGAAGGTCCCCGGTTCGATCCCGGGCGGAAACACACGTTTATTTTTTGACTTTTTTTTTCGTCATCGGAAGGTACCATTTCTTATTGCACATTGCGAATATGAGATCGTCGTGCGACTGCCAGCGTTGATAATTCCGAGCATGGTCGCTTTCGCTCTAAAATAAATCTGCAATAATTGTATTCGCTTGAATGCTCTTTGTTCAAATATAAAGGGCAGAAAGTAAATATTTTTGAGTATCTTATATTTATCACAACAGAGAATTTCTCTCGATATTTATTACATGATTTATTATCAGAACTTATTATACGTTGTTTTGTTTAGGAAGAAGGATAGAGAGAAGACACTTTAGTATCTTATATTTATTACAACAGAATTTTTCGTACACTGATATAATCGAAGAATGGGCTAAAACTTGACATCGTCTACACGTGGGGACGCATATCGGGTTTCGTACGGCTTCTCCAGAGGACGTTCTAAGACGTCATAAAAACGTCTATTAAGATAATATCTAAACATCTTAGAGACGATAAAACGTCTAAACGACGTTCTTGAGACAATAAGACCGTCCGAGCGACGCTTTTGAGACATAATTTACACACATATTGTATGGGTCGTTTACAATTATTTATTTATAAATCACACCGACATTATATAATAGCGAGGAAGAAGAATAAGAAAGTAACGAAGATCGGCATTCTTATTCCATTATCCCGCGCTCACGCCAGACTCACGATGACGGGTGCCTCGTCGTCCGCGTCCTCGAGCAAATTCGAAAAGTCCCACAGAAATTTGGCAGTCAGTCGTTCCTGCAGGCGTTTCGCGTAAGACTTCAGCCGGCCGTCCACGTCGGCGTTCGACTCGATGTTACCGAACAGTTTGTACAATTTTTGGTACACGAAATTATTGCTCGCCACGATGTCGCAGAGTATCTCCTCCGGCACGTACGACAGCTCCACCTCCAAGGCCTGCAGGAATTCTATATAGACGGAACGGTACTGAGGAATCGCGCGATCCGCGTCGCAGATCAGCGTAACGAGTTTCTTCCATTGCTCGAACGCGTCCAAGCTCTGGCCGGCCAGGAAACAGATGAACGTCAGCTGCATCTCGCCGATGATCTCGACCGGCCTGAAAAAATGCGCCGGGGAAATCTTGGATATTTTCCGAGAATAACCAACATGCGTGTATCATACGTATTGTGATGTAAAATTATGACTATAAGTGGTATCTTCCGAAACTCACTCTCGCAATTTCCTCAGGGTGGCGCTCAGAGTGTAACTGGAGTCGAGGGAGTGCCGTGTGATCTCGCTGGGAGTCGCGTCGTCGGGGTAACGTTTGTCCGGTATCTCCGTGAGTCTGAGCTCAGTGCCGGGCTTCGGTTTCAGGTCCGGCAGCAGCTCCTCCTCCTTGTCCTCCGCCGTGAGCTTGCCGGACCTCCTTGGTCTCTTGGCCTCGGACTCGCCGCCGCGCGGCCTCGAAGCGTCGCTGCAGTGCTCCAATTCCAGAGCGGACCGCACGTAGCTGTCGAGGAATGTTTCGAGAACGCTTCGGTATTCGCATCGGAGTAAGTTATTAGCTTCCACTTACCCGCACAGCGGCGAGCATCTCTCCATGAGGGTCACGTTGATCTTGCTTGTTAATTCCGACCACTGTTTCCATATCTCGTATGGGTACGGTCCTAGATACCTGTCCAATTCCTTCAGGTTGTCCTTCAGCCTCCGAACAGTCTCCTCGGGTACGGCTGTCATTTGAAGATCTCGCGTGGAATTTTGTACGTCGAATAGCGCGAGTAAATTTGTATTTTCTTACATTCGGTGCTGATATCCTCCTCCTTGCTGTCCCATTTCTTCACTAGAAACTCGTATTTCTGGAAGTTGTGAAGGAAACCGACCCTAGGTGCCATCTCGCCGAATTCGTTCACGGCACTGTACGAAGCAGAAGTGAGCAGAAGTAACAGCGGATTGAGTACCAATCAGATATCGATTGGGTATTAATGCATGCGGAGAAACGTCTCTGTAAACCTGACGACCGGCTGTAAGAAGCTGGAGCTGTCGAGACCCAGGTTACCTGTAGTGTACGTAGTGAATCCCGGGAGGGATCATCTTGATGCCTTTAAAATTCCCTTCCGTGTTCCACGATTTTATGTCGATCCCGACGTCGGTGCCCACCGGCACATCCAATAAAACCAGCGTGGCGCCCTGAGTGAACAGGGTTTGCGCGACGTTCTGCTCCATCTCCATGGTGTATTTCAATTGTGTCTCTCTCTCATAACTGTGTCCGCAGTTTTGCGACTGATATAAACAAACGTTTCGTTTTCGATGTCGTGTTATTTTTTAATAATTAAGAATACGTGCAATGAAAGCATTAACTCTTACAGCCCCGTAACTTTAGAGTGAGCCTCCACTTCTTTGAATGCACAGTACCATGGCGAAAAATGTCCGAAATAAGTCCATTTACCTAAACTTCAGCAAGAAATCAACCACTTTGCATTATTATTGTAAATCATTCAGCGCTCGTTAATAATAGGCGTTAACAACAGGCTATTTATTATTGACAGGTAAAGGTTTTCTTCGACGACATCTTCGAGTGACATCTGTTGTCCATCGTGAGCACTCGAGACCTCGTCTCACCCGCCGTTGAGTACTCCCACTCGAAACTATAAGACGTCTGACTTGCTGTCGAGTCGTACTACGTCCTTGTTTTTTATTGAAAATAAAGATTGTACAAAAGCGTACAGGGTGCAGGAGACCAACCTGTTCGACTCATTATTGTACAATATTATCTTCTATCAGTAACTTAGCTTCTATAATTATCTATAATTATCTGTTGGGTAATTGGAGTGTAATGAATTTTGCTCCGATTAGTTAAAATCTAATCTCAATCCTAATCCGTAATCTGATGCGGGCATAAAGCCGTTTAGGATTGAGATTGGATTGAAACTCGACCAATCGGAGCAAAATTCACTAAACTTGAATATAGTGAACTTCGCTCTGATTGGTCAGATTCAGTTCAATCTCCAATGCGTAGTCTGATACGGGCTTAACGCCCGTCGTCCCGTCGGACAGGAAATCTTGGAGCTCGCCTAGGATAGTTTCCGCGCGTCGGACAAAATCCAACGAGGCGTCGACGGAATTCCTCGATTTATCGTTACACCCGAGTCCCCCGCGAGTCATTCACCATCTCAGCGAGTCTGCGAACAGGTGGGCCGGCAAGGACGGCGTTCCGCCGTCGCAAGGCTCTCCGAAAACGAGGAAACGATCACTCTCGTCCCCCTCCCCCGCCGTTCTCGTCCCTCCCACTAACGAGAGACCTGTTCGGGACGGTCAGTAGGTTGCAAGAAAGGAGCAACAGGCCGACACGCGGTTGGCTCGGCGCTGCGGTGAGGTGCGCAGTGACTTCTGTTCGCGACACAGCGCGCTCCATTGCGCAGACGCGGCGCAGTGGGAGAGAGAGAGGAGGACGGACCGAGCGCAGAGAGAAAGGGAAAGAGAGAGAGAGAGAGAGAGAAGTAGATAGCTAGCTAGATAGATAGAGAGAGAAAGAGATACCGTTTCCTCGCGTTCCCGGAGACGCGCGTGCACACGACGAGTGTCAACGCGACGCGACGGAACGCGCGACGGTGGAAACCCCGGCGTGGCATCGCGTACCAGAAGCGGGCAACCGGACGGACAGACGCACGTACGGACAGCGCGGCGAGGTCGGGCCGCGAATAATCCGAGAAGAATATAGCCGTGCGGCCGCCCCCTCTCCCCCTCCGTTCAAGCCAGCGCGTCGGGCTCGCGTTCGTTCGAGCGAGCGAGCGAACGCGACTTCCTCCGAGCGGTAGTAGTGCCTTCTGACGAGTCCGAGCCTCGCCATCGTCGTCGTCGTCGTGCAGTCGTTCCTCGCAAGAGCGCTCGCGATCGTCGCGTCCGCGTGTGTGCGCGAGCGGGCGCAGTGCCGTGATCGTCGGACGGTGGGTATTATTATCATCATTATCATCATCATCATCATCGTCATCATCATCACCATCCATCGTCGTCGTCACAGTGTCGTCGTCAGCGTAATCGTCATCGTCGACTCGGAGCGCTCGAAGAGAACGGAGCGACGAGAGTGTGTTCGCTCTCCCTTCCCTCTCTCTCGCCCCCGCCCTGGTCTCTTCGCTCCGACCGTGCTTTAATCTTCCCTCTCACTCTCTCTCTGCTCTTCTCGAATGTCCAGTGCGATCCCTCGGCCGACCACCCGGACTACGTCGTCGTCGTGGCTACATCGCCGACGTGCGTCGTCATCGCCGAAGAGGCCAACAGCAGCGCTGCTCCGGTGAACGCGCGCGCGAGGTGGGAGCTTCTCCGGAGGAGGATCGGGATAGAAAGAGAGGGAGCGAGAGAGAGAAGAATGAGCAGCGCGCTCGCTCGCTCTCCCTTCCTCCCGCCCTCCGTCTCTCTCTCTCTTTTTTCTCGGGTCGCGTTTCCTGCGCTCTCGCACGCGCTCGAGAGTCCACGCAGGTAGGGCGAGCCGCGCCGCCGATACCAGCCTGCCGGAGAGGTGGGATCGACTACGAGGAGAGCGAGTTTCGCAGTCGCGACCGGTGTTGGCCGCCCGTAACGCGCAGATCGGCGAGCGATCGGGAGTGAGACGAGGAGGAGGCAGCAGGGGGCAAGAGAGAGAGAGAGAGAGAGAGATAGAGGAGGACCATCGGTGTATCGCGGGGGGCGACGCTGCTAGTGTTGCCCGTAGCGGCGGCGGCGGTGGCGGCGGAGAGTTTGATCCCGGTGATTCGATTCTACCGCGGCGGAATAATGCGCAGGTGAAAACGGAGGAGGAGGAGGAGGTGGAGAAGAAGAAGAAGAAGAAGAGAAGAGAAGAGCACACCGGAGTCGCCGTCGTCGTGGGAACGTGAAGAGCGGCGGAGAAGACGCGGTAACAGGAGGACTCCTGCACGTCGGACGCGTGCGTGCTTACGTGGGTGCGCGAGGAGAGGAACTAACCGATAGAAAGACAGAGAGAGAGAGGAAAAAAGGAAGAACAGCGTGATAGGAAGTGAGAAACGGAGCAGCGACAGCAGCAGCAGGAGGAAGAACACAACGCAGAAAGTGCGACGAAGAAGAGGTGGAGGAGGAGGAGGAGAGGACGTGGAGGTGATATCGCCCGAGAAAAGAAAGACAAAGAGATAGAGAGTCCAAGCGGCCGAGGTGGAAGAGCGGCAGCGAGCGAGCGAGCTAGCTAGCTAACGTGCGCGAGTCAAAATGGCGCTGAACCAGGACGTGGACCAGTTGACCAAGAACCTCGTGGTCAGGATCGACCAGAATTCCGAGTCGGACCTGCAGGCGCTGTTCGACAGCGTGCTGAAGCCGGACTCGTCGCGGCCGCTGCAGGTGCCGCTGCGCATGCGCAAGCTGCCGGACTCCTTCTTCAACCCGCCGTCCACCGGCAGCAAGAGCCCGTCGATCTCGCACTCGCGCGAGAACTCCGCGGATTCCGCCTTCGGCACCGCCGCCGCCGCCGTCGCCGCGACACCGAGCAACCCCGGCGCCGGCGGCAGCGCGCCGAACAGCAGCGCGAACGGCAGCGGGGGCGGCGCAGGCG